CCTTTCTCGCTCATATGGCCAAGCCTTTGGTGCCATAGGTTTGATTTTCCATCAGCATCTGCTATTGCAATGATATTCTCTAAGTTTGAGGTTACATAGAGAGTACCAGTCTTCTTACCACGAGCAATGACAAGTGCTCATTTGGTAATCTTCCATTCACAGCCTGAAAAGGTTGTACTATATCCTTCTCCATCAAGTTGTCCAACAGAAATCAGATTTCTTTTGAGGCCAGGAATATGTCTCACTCCTGTCAGCTTCCAGGTGGTCTGGTTTGGCAGCTTTAATCGGATATCTCCTTTTCCGACGATCTTCAAGGTTTCATCATCAGCAAGATGAACCTTCCCAAAATCACCACTGACATAGTTCTCCATGATTTCTTGGCATGGGGTGGAGTGGAATGATGCCCCTGAATCCAAGATCCATGATTCAATCGGACTGTTGACGCTTAGAATCATGGCATCACCTGTCTCCTCTATCACGTTGGCAGATTTCTGTGCACTGGTATCTTTCTTCAGTGCTCGACAATCTCTTTTAAAGTGACCATTCTTGCCACAATTATAACAGGTAAAATCTTTCTTTCCCGTTCTGGATTTTTCTCGTCTGGATTTTGATCTGCCACGATTTGAATATCTTTTTGAAGTTCTTCCTCTAGACTCCATGTGCAAGGCTGAGGAGGTTGATGCTTCACCCGATTCTCTCCGTCGAATTTCTTCACTCAATACCAGATCCCGAACATCGTCGAATTTTAATTTGCTGTTTCCTGACGAACTGCTATAACAGTAGCAGTTCAACTGTCTGGTAGAGATGATAAGAGAATTAAAGCTCGAACTTCATCATCGAATTCAATTTCCACTGAACTCAACTGGGTTGTGATTGTGTTGAGTTCATTTAGGTGTTGTGCCACCGATGCTCCTTCCGTCATCCGCAAATTGAATAATCGCCTCATTAAATGAACTTTGTTTGAGGCCGATGGCTTCTCATACATACTGGAGAGAGTCGCCATAAGACCCGCTGTGGTATTTTCCTTTGCTATGTTAAAAGCAACATTGCGGGATAACGTCAGTCGGATAACTCCGAGGGCTTGTCTGTCGAGAAGAGCCCAATCTTCATCCTTCATGCCCTCTGGTTGCTTTCCTGAGAGAGGTTGATATAGATTTTTCTGGTACAAAAAATCTTCAATCTGCATCTTCCAAAAGCCAAAGTCCGCACCATCGAACTTTTCAATTTTCACCTTCCCTTCGTCTGCAGCCATCGCTCCCACTCGAATCTGGCTTCGTTTGGAGCGTTTCTGACAATTCTTGCGAATCACCGTGTATTAGAACACCACCGTCGACAAACTCGTATCGTCGACCGAATTTCACTATTCACGAATTCACTATTCACATGAATAGTAATGAATAGTAACCTCGTAGATAATTTGACAAAATTCACAACCAAAAGCTCTGATTACCAGTTGTTAGGAAAATAAACCGAGTACAAGTAATTTCCCTATAACCAGATTAGTGAGAATGCGAATTAAAAGCGGAAAAATAATACCCGAAAATTGATAACGGAGTTCAGCCAATTGTGCTTACGTCTCCGGGCTGCTGCATATCTTTTATTAAGAGAGAAAATTTACAGGTGTTTACAAAACACTCACTACTCACAAGAAAGCTCTCTAGTATAGGAAGAAAGAAATGTTTTGGGATGATTTTGAAGCTAAATGGGTAAGGGTATTTATAGTAGAAACTTAGGGACTAATCTTTGAAAATACCCTAAAGTGCAATGACTAAAGTGAATTTACCCATTCCTATTTTCAACAAACATCTACCAAAATTTTACCAAACTTTCAAAGAAACATTTACCAAACTTTGAAAAAATATTTTCCAAAGTTGGTTGCCAAACTTTGAAACTTTTAACAGTGTCATGCAAAGCCATTGATGATGGTGACAAGAGAAAACCTAATCTTAACAATTTTGGTCGAAGAGATGTTCTAATGGGCCTTGGTGGCCTTTACTATGGAGCAACTACCCTCTGCGATGTGATGGCGGCACCGGTATCAGCACCGGATCTAGAAAAATGCTGCTGAGCAAACATCCCAGAGGGTTCAGTAAAGACCAATTGTTGCCCAACGGTTTCACGAAAGATCGTCGATTTCAAACCATCCCTAACATCGAACTCCCCATTACAAGTCCGGCCGGCAGCTCATTTAGTGGACGAAGACTATATAAGGAAATATTCGAAAGCATTTGAGCTTATGAAAGCTCTACCGGATGATGATCCACGTAGCTTCACGCAACAAGCTAATATCCATTGTACGTATTGTGCAGGTGCTTATGATCAAGTAGGGTTCCCTGGTCTTGAGCTCCAAATTCATTATTCATGGCTCTTCTTCCCCTTTCATAGATATTATCTATACTATTTTGAGAGAATTTTGGCTCATTTGATCGATGATCCGACGTTCGGTTTGCCGTTTTGGAACTGGGATTCACCCGCCGGTATGCTTATACCCCATATGTATACGGATACGAAATCGAGTTTATACGATGAGCGACGGAACTCAAGGCATTATCCACCAACAATGGTGGACCTTGATTACAATGGCATTGACGAAACAACAACAAACGAAGCACGGATACAGAGCAATCTTAGAATCATGTATAGACAAATGGTTTCGAATGCCAAAACGACTAGTCTTTTCCTCGGCGGCCCGCTCCGGGCCGGCGATGAGCCGTATCCAGGTCCAGGTAGTAAAGTATTTATATGTTAATGAATATAATAAGATATACAAGAGTTATTAATTAATTAAAATTACTATTATTTATCTCTAAGTAAGGTTCGATCGAGAACGTGCCTCATGAACCACTTCATGTATGGTGTGGTGATCTTAGGCAGCCGAATGGTGAAGACATGGGAGCCTTTCACTCCGCCGGAAGAGACCCCATGTTTTACGCTCATCACTCGAATGTCGATCGGATGTGGAGTATTTGGAAGATGATCGGAAACGGTAATCGGAAGGATTATGACGACCAAGATTGGCTTAACTCTTCGTTTCTTTTCTACGATGAGAATGCGAATCTCGTCCGTGTTAAAGTTCGCGATTGCCTCGAGACTCGAAGCTTGGGTTATGTTTATCAAGATGTTGAGCTTCCATGGCTGAAAGCAAAGCCGACGCCAGCTCGAAGGCCGCCATTAAAGGGTACTTCAGGGATTGCATTAGCAGCAGAAAACAACGACAAAAATCTTGTTTCCAGCAACGATTTCCCGATTGTTTTGGATAAAATCGTGAGGGTAAAAGTCGAAAGGCCGAAGAAATCGAGGAGCGAAAAGGAAAAGGAAGACGAAGAGGAAATACTGATAATTACCATCGAGTTGAAGGGAGATAGGTTCGTGAAATTCGATGTTTATGTGAACGAGGAGGAAGATTCAAACATCGGACACGACAACACCGAGTTCACGGGAAGTTTTGTTAATGTCCCACACAAGCATAAACATGGGAAGACATTGAAGACATGTTTGACATTGGTTGAATGAACTGATGAATGATTTGGGAGCTGAAGATGATGATAGTGTTGTCGTGACTTTGGTGCCGAAATGTGGAAATGGTAATATCATGATTGGCGGGATCAAGATTGAGCCGCCAATTAGTCACTTATTGCTTGGTGTTTGAGAAAATCTGTGTTATTTTCTAGGGAAAAATGTTGATTTTCTGAGTTTCATATATGTGAAATATGAATTTAAAGTTGTTATTTAGAGTTTAGGGTGGTTTGGGTAAGTTTTAGATTGTATGATTTAAAATGGAAATAAATAAATTATGTAAAATCAATGTTATATAATTTGCGTATCAAATAATAGCCATGATAATGCAATATCTATTTTTTTTTATTTAGCTCCTAAATATTTTTTAATCTTAAATTTAAAATTTTAATCATTTTGATAATGTACCATTTTGATAGTATAAGAAAAATTATCAAATTCAGAGACTAATGTGGATTAAGAAAATATAGGGATCAAGTTCGAGAAAATCATCAAATTTAGGATTCAACTATGCTTGTACGTATGTATGTATATATTCTATAATTATTTGATAGTGGTTTTAATTCAATCTAATATCTTTAATTTAATTCAATATCTTTAATTAATATCTAATCAAATAAAATATATGACAACAAATTAAAATCACTAGTCAAATTAAAATTAAATTATGATCCTATAAATTGATTTGTATCAGTATAGAAATTCATATGTAGTCAATTAACACATCAATAATAGATTGAATAATTTATAAAATCACTAAAAATAAATATAACTATCACATTAGATAAAATAAACAAATGATCATTAAATCATGTTAAAATAATTATTTTACCATCAAAATTTTAAAAATCTCAAAATAGTGATTATATTTATCAGATTATTATAAAATGTTAAAATAATAATTGTAATATATTTAAAGATTATTTTTATTAAAAAATGCTAATTATTTCTATACATGTGTCTCAATGTATGTACGAATGCATATATATATATATATATATATATATATATATATATCTCATAATATTGTATAACACAGGGATATGAGAACTTGTTGAAGATACTTTGACTTTAGACCAACTCCGCATTTTTAGAGTGACTACAATTTCCACTTTGAAGATGAATTTTAACTTCAGTCCGTAGCTATTTTAATGCTGAATTGTGACGACAGTTACAGTTATACGTTATAACTGACGATGCATTGTAACTACGCTACATATTATATTTTTTTCTAATTTTTTGATTTTATTATTTTTTTACTTTCTTTTGTTATTTTCTTTTCCTTTTTCTTTTCTTTATTACATTATTTTCTCTTATTCTAACTTTTATATTTTTTATTATAATTTCTACACAATAAAATAAAAATTAAATATAATATAATAAATTCAAGTAGATTAAATTTTAAAATCAAGTAGAGTTGGTGGTAATACAGAGATAAATTAATATTTCATCTTCTGTGTAGAGATAGAGATGCTATAGAGTAGAGATGAGGACTGGAGATGACCTTAATATACAAGAGTCTTGGCATGCTTCTAGACGATGAAATAGGCTTACAAAGAATAACATTATCAGGAAAACAAAACAAAGAATAAACGGGTCAATGGATCTGTTGTTCAGTTTGATATAAGTTTTGCCGGCCACTCCCATCCTCATCGGTGGATGTCACCGGCATTGTGTGGAAACAAACTGCTAACCTAAAATGAGGACTTCGGCTGTACAAGATGTTTCATCAGTTTCTCATGGTATCCTACACGACTCGATCACTTCACTCACAGCTTTATGAGTCTCCGGAGAAATCATGTTTAACGTCAAATGAAATGCCTGCACCAAGAGAGATGAAAGAGCATTACCGGTTACGAAATCGGGATTCAAAAGCCTAAATGCAGTAAATTACTTTCAAGTCGATTGTAATTAAAATTTATTACTCGGACTCGGATGTGAACACTGAACACGGGTATGTTCATTTTTGTCCAAGTTTTCCCATGTATTTACACAATGCAAGGAGGGTTATATCTCGATACTTGTGTCGGACATGAGCACTTAAAGAAAATGAAGAGCTCAAAGTTCAAGTCCTTTTAACTTTTGGCAGAATGAATGAGTTTCAATCAACTCTCAGATGATGCCAACCTACTGCTAATGTTGCTCTGCTACTTTCAGTATTTGATGGTATTTTTAAATTAAAGACATACCACAAATCTCTCCAACACAGGTACCAAAATCGACAAACTGCGATTTGGAAGACAATCGGCAATTGCATTTCGCGTGCTCTTACTGTCAATGACAGAGTAGAGAAAAACAGTTTAGTTATAAAGCATCGAAAGAAGTACTGGGAAAGATAAAAGAATACACACCAACCTTTCAGTAGAAAGAAATGCAAGTAGTAAAGCTGCGTAGGCTTCTAAAATCATCTTCTCCGCTTCTTTCTCTCCTTGTAGCAAGACATCTTCATTATTCTACAGATAGGAAGATTTAAGGCATATCAAACATGATAAAATATTCAACCCACTAGCATAAAACATGATTCTGAATCACAGAGTAGTCCTCACCCAAGGAAGAACTTCCTCAGCCGCATCATCTTCTCCTTGGTTTGCGAGAAATATGGAACACAGCAATGGAATTACAGCCATTCGACTCCCTTCTCTTGATCCTTTTGAATATGGTAAAGAAACAGAAGCTGCTGCAAGCTGTGATCTGCATGGAAACGTGACATGTAACCGTTACATGCCAGTCACCGAGTGCCAAAAAGTGTAAGAAAAGAAAAGACTTCCAGACTGCTTTGTAAGGCACTACGCTAAGTACGAAAAAAGGTAAACTAACCTGTTCTGTTCATCCTTCTCCACTAGGTTTACAAGCAGACCAAGTATGGCTACGAGGAAATCCAATTCCAGATCATTAAGAGGTACGTCATTCCGGTCATCAAGATCTACACTAAGAGAAGCCTTTTCCATTTCCCTGGCACAAGGCAAATATGAGCAGAATGAAGGGAAGTGGCTCGCAATCAATGTAGACAAGGTCTCTATGGCCCCAGAAGCAGCAATTTTTTGACAGCCAAGAGGGTTGTCATTCGTTAAATTCATCAAAACCTGCCAAGATAACACCCCACTATTTGATATAAACCAGTGTAAGAGAAAACATATAGGATATCAAAATGTACACAGCAAATCCAGTTTTATTTCGTATATCAAAACGCACTGGCCATTCAATCCAACCAATACTATAGAATGATTCAAGAAGCAGTATAAGGTATGAACAACCAATTGAAGCTAGAAACAAGCACTGCCAATGGTTGGATGGAATGATTACTAAATATTCAATAATACCTTAATAGCAGCAAGAAGGCAGTCTGAGACAAGGCTAAAATATTCTTCGGTACTGTGAGAAACAGAAGTTACATTAGAATGATGATATTCTTCATCGATAAATTCTGTCTGGAAAATTTCCTCAGGACTTGATTCTTGTTGGCTCATCGTAAATTGGTAACGATGCCCAACTTGGATTTTTCTATTTCTTGGCTCAATTTTCTCATGTTTTTTAGTTCGGAGTATCTTTTTTCCCCCAGATAGTACATCCCACTTCGAAGGCACAAAATCATCTTCATCAAATGCAAAAGGATCTTGGCTATCCTCTAAAAGTTGTCGATTGCCATTTTTACTGCGATCAGATCTCTCACAAAAGGTCCCTGACCCATTGCTTATTCCAGGTATTCCATCAAACAAATTTCCTGATTTCCCACTAGAAGAATGGATTCTCGTCTTTAGTAAACCACAATCATTCGAAGATGAAGTTGCGGTTTGAAAACTAGATACAGAATGATCTGGCCACTGCGTGGACGGTCCTGGATCATTCTGGGATGTATTGAAGCTCTTTCCAGGGAAGGACAACTCCAAGCTAGAGGACTTCTCACACGAACTAGTCAAGACAGCAACATGTCTATCCACTGCAAAGTTAAAGCAATCAAAACAGTAATTACAGCCACTTGAAAGGTATATTTAATGACATCAGACTGCATAAATACCTTTACAGTCTGCAGTTAGAGCAAACTTATCAGCATCACCAATTGCCTCAGAACTATTGCAAGCTCTTTCAGTACTAGACGATGCAGAAGAAGTCTTGATATAAAGCCCTAAAAACAATGACATTGGTAACTCACAATGCAAGAAGTTTTGTCAAAACAGAACAAGTCATGGGTCTGTCAAGCTGTTCTCCCGATCTAATCCATTTCTGAGGGTTTGGTTGAAAGACAACTACGTAGTTTCATCTTTCCTCAGGTTCAAGTTTCTACCTGTTGGACTCTTTTCATCATCTCCACCCTTCTCTTCTTTGCCGGCAGTCACTACATTCATCACCGCCGGGCGCGCGCCATGAACTCTGTCACGTACCGAGTTGGTTAAAGCATGGCTGTTTTGATGTGTTTAACCTTGACTCTCATTGTGGTTTAAGGAAAATTCAGACCTAAGTTTTTCCGGAAGTTCAAGGACTGTCCCATTCAAGAATTGAAACATTCGAAATTCCAATTGCCTAAGAGATTTTCCAGAAGGTGCAGAAAAAACAGTTTATATTCTCATGCCGGGTGCTGAACTTTTTCTTCAGCAGAGTCCTTCGGTCCAAGCTCTTCCGCCCTCTGCAGTTGCGCTTTCTCCATCATCTCACCCTCCTCATAATGACGTGGTTCGTACGATCTTCATTATGGGTCTGCCTGAAGATGTCAAAGAGAGAGAGCTGCAGAATCTATTGAGATGGCTTCCAGGTTTTGAAGCTTCGCAAGTGAGCTACAAGGGAGAAAAGCCTAAGGGTTTCGCTTTATTCTCAAATGCAGAATTTGCAGTTGCTGCCAAGGATGCCCTTCAGAAAATGGTTTTTGATGCTAAGTTGAAGTCTTTTCTGCACATTGAAATGGCAAGGAAGAATCTTGTTGTTAAAAGTGGATTAGTTACAGCTTCTGATGGTTTAGACAAGTATGGATGTGATCATGTTCCTCCATTACTGTCAATGCCAAATTCAGCTTCTGTAGCATCTCCTAGTTTTCATGTGTCTGGTAAAAATGGGTGTTGCAATGGAAAATCTGCAGTAGATGGTGTCCTCGAGAGAACCAAGGAGTCCATCACAAAGGGCTTCAGTAATGACAAGTATGGATGCTACACGTTATTTGTTGAAAATTTACCAGAAAAGATCCATTGGAAGAGGTTTGGATCTTTATTTTGCTCCCACGATCGGGTACTTGATGCTTTTATTCCAAATAAAAGAAATTCAAAAGGAGTTCGCTTTAGTTTCATTTGCTTCGCTTCTATCGAAGAAGCAAGGAGAGCGACCTCAAAAATGAATGGCTCTTACATCGACGGTAGCAAAATTGGTGTTTTTTTGGCTAAATTCAAACCTCGTCATTCCTATTGGAGAAAGTCTTCGACAGGGGTTCTCCGCAAGTCCGAGATAGAAGATGATTCGAGTAAGAATCATTATAAAGTTGAAGGCGTTATAGATGAAGAAAAACTTCAAGTGTTGGGCAATTGTCTAGTGGGGTGGTGCAAAGACTTTATCAAAATCGGTCATCTCGCTAGACAAATGCATGCGAAGTGCCTCACTGGCTTCTCCTTAATGAGAGCTGCTGGAAATGCAGTATTAATGATTTTCGAAGACTCTGCTTCATTGAGAAGTGTGAAGAACGATAAATCAGAGACTCTCGCAGAGTGGTTCTCCATAGTAGAAGCTTGGTCAGAGAGTTTGGTTTTGGAGTGTCACCGAGTATGGTTAGTCTGCGAGGGTGTTCCGTTTCACGCATGGAATTGGGATACTTTCAAGAACATTGTTGATAGTTGGAGTTGCTAGCAATCGATGAAAGTTGTCAGTCACCATTATCCTTTGATCGGGCAAAAATTCAAGTCCTCGCAAAGGTTGGAGCGAGAATTGATGCGACATTGGAATTGAAGGTTGGTGACAACTCCTTCAAGATCATGGTGCATGAGATAGAGCCTTCATTCAAGCCAAACTCTTGGGCTCCTGAAGAAGACGAATCCCAATAGATCTCGTCTCTCCAATTGTGGTTTGATTTAGTTTATATGGTTGTAGGTGTTGCTTCTCTTTTTATTATGTTCTCTTGCGCTGTTTTAATCCTATTGATGGAGGTGTAATTAGAAATAGGTGATTCAACTGTGATTTTGGAAGAGGTTATATGAGGTTAAGGTGTTTTGTTGTAATGGTGTATATCACCATAGGAGGATAATCCGGTGTTATCTTTTGTATTGGGTATTATTATTAATAAACTTTGAGGTACTCTTTTCTTCCTTCCAATGTTCGTTAACATACTTCTTAGTATGTGAACGAATACGAAGAGAGTTTTTAATGAGACCTCCAACTTCTATAAAAAAAAAACAGAAAATATATAACGAAAAAAGGTGTTTTGAAGTAGTAATTGCACCACCAGTTACCTGAAAGAATCTTTATTACACTTATAAGAAGCTTCACAAAATATATTCTAGATCCATTGGAGTTCAATTTCCCTCTCATTTCTAACAGATGACTCTACGATCAAAGAAAAAGAAAGCAATTAGAGTCTTGGAGCTTATATAAATGGCAGTGTTAAGTTGGAGAAACCAAGTTGGAAATATGAAAATAAAATACAAAATACTAAAAATCATAATTAGTACCTGATTGTCGCTACTGAGGAATGCAGCATTTTCCATGATTTTCATACATTTTAAAAGCAGCGCAAGCCTCTGCACATCCTTTTTATCTTCTATAAGAGGAGAAGATGAACTCTGCTCCACCCAACCCTGCAGAGAAGTTAATGCAATACATTATACAATACTAACAATGAACAATTTCAAACATATATATGTATAACAATTTGTTAATTCCCATTTCCGGGTGAATGCTTCATTCATGTAAAAGAGGTAGAAAATATGACTCATTATTTAAAGTGGTATTTCTTAATCTCCTTCAGTTGAAATGCAATAGAACAGAAATGAGATATAACATACAAGCTCACACCTCCAAACCAGAATGACACTCCATGGCCACTTCAAAGACAACATCAAGTCCTCCATGCTCTCTTAATTTCTCCTTCAAATTGCAGCCAGTTTTTCTTACCATGCCAGTTGCATCTGAAAAATAAACCAATGTAAAAACATGGAAGTAGTCAGCAAATAGGGAAAAAAGTACCCAACTATATGATTATGTATTATATGTACATAATTATGTGGTTGTGTTGTGTTCAGGTTTGAGCTACCATTACAGTTCCAACATGACAGTTTATATATAAATGCTTAAAACTCCTGGATATTTCAAGCAGATACCTTCAAGAGAAATTTTTGACAAACAAGCTTTCTCCAAAATCAACAAAGCTATCCATTTCGGGCATAACTCAGACCTTTTTAAACCACTATCATCCCCACATGTTGACTTCATTTCCTTACAACTAACAAGAATTTCCTCAACTTTGGAAACAATGACAGCAGAGCTTGAATCCAACACTTTAGTCGTATTCCGTGAGATGCCGACATCCTTGTGTAATGCCAAAAGCTTATACCCTATTTTTCCTGTTTTGGTCTCTTTAGCAATGGGGATGACTGGCTTCAACAATTTAAGTAGAAAGCGAATGCAACTAGGTGATTCCAGGAGACACTCATCTTGACCCTAATATAATAAATTCATACAAATCTTGATTAATACTATTATCAACATGTTTAAAACATTCGCTTCACCTATATGTAAATAGTGATCTAAAAGAAATTGATGCAAATAAGTGAAAAAACATATAGCTACAACTCCCAATTAAGATGCATAAATGATATATAATGTATTCTCGCAACTTCAAGGGCTGAAAAACTTACATCAGTAGTCAAGACATAGAAAAGGGCAACAGCAGCAAGATTACTTGGGATGTCATCAATGTTGAGACCCAAAATAGCATCAATTATTGTCTTTGTCATTCTGAAATGAACATTTTTACAAGGCCAGAGTAAGGATTACAGAGTGGATCACAGTAAATCTACCCTCCAGAAGACAATAGTACAATCATGTATATCCATGGACTAAAATAAGACAAAAGCTACTCCGGAAAACCACTCAATCTTTCATCTATATCATTCTTTAAGAAAGATAATGAAGCAAGTACTTAACTGTAAAAACTTTATGAATAAAGTTGGAAAAATAAACAAGCAGAAAAGCTTAATCAGGGATTACCTTATATGTTGAAGTTGCTTAAGCTACCTTTCAAAATTTACACTGTTTTTAAAATAAATTCATATCCTGAAATCCAAATTGCTAAACCTACTTCAGGTCGGGTTTGGGAACTTGGATTTTCAAATATAGTGTAAATGACTAATAAAATACTTCGAAGTGCAACGTTCATGATTATATCTTAAATCCATGGATTTATTAGATGCTTAATTACTAATGAGTTCGAAATTCTTAATATAAATTTGGATTTGGTAAATCCATGTTTCTATACTATTCAACTATAAATTATACTGAATGCTACATATTTACTCATAATGTATACATTTCATTATTCCATTTACATTACAAATAAAATCCAAATCTAATTCTCAAATTCATGTTTCCGAATGGAGCATTAAAGAGTATAGATATCCACGCAAATTTCATGCTAGAATCCAAAATTCAAAAATCCACGCATAATTAACACTACCTAGATGCCCAAATCACTAAATTAGGGCAAACGAACCTCAGCAAGAATCCAAACATACCCCTGGGTTCTCAAAAGTCTCCTTTGTTGGGCCGTGCCACAAATCGAAAGCAAAGACAGGAGACTCGCTCTTCTGATCCTCACCGGTTGACCTTTCTTCAACCCATCAAGCGCGAAATTAGCCTCGTCAACGTGTTCCATCATTTCCCCAAACTCTTGAGCTTCCATCAAAGTCGAATTGGGAGAAATCCAGGGAATAGAAGAATCCCTTACCTCTTTCTTGCTCTGCCTTTGCTTCTGCTTCTTGGATCTCCTTACGACGCCGTTTCTCGGGTCGTCAAGACCGAAATCACTTAGAGACGGTTCGAAGGCTGCTGCTGCGCTGTCCTTGTAAAAGTCGTCGTTGAATTCTTGGGAGGAGAGCCAGAAGGAAGAGGACTCTTGAGTGGAGAAAGGGAAGCTGTAAGTGTCCTCAGACGGAACCGTTTCTTGGGAGAGTGGAGGGGAGTCGGAGACGTCGTCGTATGGGGAGTCGGAAAACGTCCTGGTTAAACCACGGTTGCGGCGGCCGTAGGTTCTAACGATCATGGTCGCCTGGCCGAGCCTCCTTTGCGATGACGTTAACTCGGCTTTGACCTTAAATGAAGAGAAGGGTATTCTGGACAAATATAGGAATTTGGGAGTATGAAATTAAGACCTCTCGCCTAGGAGAGAGGATCTAGGGTAGATAGCAGGAAAGTATAAATAACTTGGTAAAATCACTCTACAAATCCTTACGTTATGGTACATAATACATTTTGATCTTTATACTTTTAGAACGAGAACAAAATGATAAAATTCCGTATGACTGCACGAAATATTATTTGTATAAACCAATAGTAGATTGATTTAATAAATTGAAATATTAAAGTGTTTCATATTAAAATCATTCCCATACTAAATCTTCAGATATTGTAAATGAAATAAGTTAGATCGAGAAAATGCAAACTTCGTATCATTATATCAACTTGTTTTTCAATAACTAAAACAAAATTTAAAAGGATGAATGTGAGTATAGTTCGTACATATCTTCTTACAAGATTTGGTAAAGGTACAAAGAAATTCAAGAATAGGGTTCAACCTTTGGTCTCTGAATACGACAGTCCAACCACTGTATCAACAGAGCACATTACTATTTGATCAAGGGTAAAAGCAACACTCATGTCTGAGAAAGCGTCGATCACGCGCATCTCACCCACCCTTCTTCTGGTCTTCAGGCAATTCCTTCGTAAGCATTCTCGGAGCGATTGGCATTGCTATTAGCTCTAGGAAGAACAGTTTACAGGCATAAGGAATGTGCACCTGCAAGGGATAGTAATTATAATCCCGATCCTGATTTCAAGCTTTGACTTGTTCAAGGGATAGAAATGGGTTACCTGAACGATATCGGTTTTATTCTTGCATCCTCTTCACTCGAAAGAGTTCTTCTTTAGATCGGCGATGGCGATCAACCCACACCGCTCACAAACGTGGACTCTGTATGCATCACTTTGGTCAAACAATCTCTTCTTGAGGAAATGGGCAGCACCATGTGCAATCATGCAATCTCTTTCCATCTCTCCAAAACGAAGACCACCATCACGAGATCGTCCTTCTTCAGGCTGCTTTGTTAGAATCTGGACAGGACCACGACCACGCGAATGGATCTTGTTGTCGACCATGTGCATCAGTCTTTGGTAATATGTTGGCCCCAAGAATATCTGTGTGCCCGTTATACATGTTCTCAAAACCACGCATTTGATACCCACATTTATGAAGTGATCTGCTGATATTGTCCACCTATAACATCAAACCGAATGGGATTAAAATGTATATATATAGTCTCTAAACGTTAAACTTCACGCGAGCAGTGCCCACCATCAATAGTCCCAAAGCGGGTATAAGCAATTAGTGTAGTCCAAGAACATCAGAGAAATTTGATTCAAGAATCCAAAATTAAGGAGTGCAACTTACAGTGACATCTGTAAACGGAGTAGCATCCCCTTCCTTGCCCATGTGAGCTGCAACTTTCCCCATGATACACTCGATAAGCTGACCGATTGTCATTCGGGAAGGAATAGCATGTGGGTTCACAATGATATCAGGTGAGATGCCTTCCACAGTCCAAGGCATGTCTTCCTGGTTGTAAGTCATGCCAACTGTCCCCTTTTGACCATGCCGACTGCTAAACTTGTCTCCAATCTGGGGAATCCGAACGGATCTTACTCTTACTTTCACAAATCGCAACCCATCAGCATTAGTTGTCAGCAGAACCTACACAAGAACAGAAAGTCGGTTCAATAACAAAATCACTGAAACAAATGCACCTAATCTATTTGCATGGATTAACAAAGGAGAGTGCAATAACCTCCACTAAAAATTATTAGTAACAACAATTTGAAAAGGTCCACAATGCTGGTTTCACTGTGACGTAAGCTTATGCTGTGATCACGTCTTGTATAGCGCGATGCTTGACCCTGAGCTTCCTCCTGTGAAATAGGCGTGGTCTTTCCAATGATGACGTCCTCACCTGAAACTCTTGTTCCCAAACGGACAACAATAATTTAAATTCAGGAAAGCACAGTCAACTACTTTTGTACGACAAAGCAATGAAAGTAGAAGCAGCATGCTAAATTTTGCACTTACAGGAGGTGCAAGACCATCATCATCCAATTTATCGTCAGAGCCATGCCTCATTAGTCATTCCCTGCAAAAAGCAAATTGTGTCATATGGAAACACTCAAACAAGCGGCGAACAGCAAATTTTTATCCCTTAGTTTTCACCTATTCTTTAGTTACTGTTTTCTGTTCTATTGTTTAGGAGTTCCATTTCATCCATTTGTTTCCGGAGACTTGTATATTACTTAAGCAATCAGTAAAATACACGACCGCTCTTCATCTGTTTCTAAAATTTTATAGTTTCAAGGTATTACTTAAGCCTCAATATAATATTTGCATAATTTGCTCTTCAAATAGAAGCATTCAGTTACTTATCCAAAAAAAAAATAGAAGCATTCAGTTTGAATTGGTTTCATATTTGAACCATTCGCTTAGTTAAATTAAAGTACTAGTAGTTAAATTGAATTGGAGGCCTGTTTATGAGATTTTAGTGGCCTCGGATAAACATAGAAATTAGGTCTCTACGTATTGAAAAAAATGAATTATAAGAGAAAGAAAAGATAAATAAAATTGTTTGTAAATTTTTTTCTTTATTACGTTTAATAAATTATCTAACAAAGACATCAAATTTTAAATAGAAAACATCAATAAATTTTATTAAACATCCAACTACTCACACAAAATAAGTATGATCCTCTTTTAAGATGGCCCGTATTTGAATTTAACCTTCTCCATCTTGTCAAAAAACTAATAAAAGAATAATTAAATGAAACGTGAAAAATAATTAAAACATACAACACCAACATCGTTGTTAATTTTTTAATGATGGACAAATAAAAAAGAAATAAAATGTAATGTTAAGTATGATTTTAAAAAAATGAATGATCAAAATAAAAATAAAATAATAGGTAAGTGACTATATAGATAATTTATCCTTTTTTTAAATTATATTTCAACTTTACAGTTTTGAGCCCGGGCAAGAGGGGCCCTGTCCATGCTCAAATACGGGCCTGGTTTTTGGACAAATGAAGTTTACCTATCCAAAATAGGTACGTAGAGGAAGAAAAGAAAGTAAGAGGACCTCAGCGAAGCCAGACTGGTGACTAGGATTGTGCTGTGACTCGGGCCTGATCTCGATTTCGGCCGATTCGTCAACGATTTATTGCATCGTGTTTTGGATAAGCACATCGAACGAATCAAGCTACTGACGCACCAAACCTTTCTCTTCGAAGTAAGCAGAGATGACCGCCCACGCATCTTCCTGCATTATCTCCTCGTCTTCTTCGTCGTCGTTGATTAGTTGTGGATCGTACTCACTGTCGATTAGTTGTGGATCGTACTCACTGTCGTCTAGACCTGTAAATGAACTGAACGTTCATGAACCGTGCGGTGGGAAGTTCGTTTATGTGCGTTTATTTATTAAATGAACGAACATGATCAAGATTTTGTGTTCGTTTAATTAAATGAACGAACGCGAACATAGGTCTCGTTCGTTCATTTACGCTCGTGAATGTTCGTGAATGTTCGTTCGGTTATGTTCGTTTATGTTCGTTCATTTATGTTTAACTCAATCTTCTATGCAATTTCGGAAAAAGAGTGTAATAGCGGAAGTAATGGGTTTTCCAAGAAGAACCCATTAATAAGTAGAAAATGCACTTTGACAATGAACTTTTGTTTTCATAGTTCTTGTGTAACATTTAGTTGTGAAGTAGACTTTAGGTACGTTAAAATTTTGAATGGTGGTTTAGCAATAATATCAGTTACGATATATAGCATCGGAGGAATTTCAAATCTATGTTATTGCCTTGTAGTCCAATTTGTACCGTTCAAAATCTTCATGCTGTTAAATTTTCTACTCTGCCAACGGAAAGTACCATTATTAACAAATCTAACTAAAGTCTGACATTGATGTCACAAAATTTTTAGTCGACGAATTTATTAGAATAACGTAGTGGAAAATGATTGTTCATATGTAATCATGGACCACTAAGATAAATGTTATAGCGTTAAATTAAAGTACTGTGAATCATTTAATATCTTTAAAAAATCGATCGAAATATCTTATATCTTCAAACATTTCAACACTGCTAATCATCTCTTACGCTATTTATCACTGTAGATTTGGTTGATTTCAATTGTCGACTATTTTTCATGAAAAAACAATGGAAGGTAGGGTCTCCAAGGTTTATGTTTGTTTATGTTCGTGTTCGTTTATTTATTAAATGAACGAACATGAATAAACTATATTCCTTAATGAACGAACATGGACAAAAAAAATTTGTTCGTTTATGTTCGTTTATTTATTAAATGAATGAACATAAACATACATCCGTTCATGTGCATTCGGTTTGTTTACAGGCCTACTGCCGTCGTTTAAAATAGGATCATAATTTGAAAATTGATATAGAATATTTAAAATTTAGGGATCAATTTAAAATGAGAGTATTAATTTGAAGATCTCTTGTGCAATTATCTCTATTATTAACGTTTAATCGTTTCCCCCTCTCCAATTTAACATATTTCCTTAATTTTAAAGAGACTATTTTGCTCTTCGATATAGAGATCAAGTACTTGCCATGTAGTTTAACCAATTAGATGTTCAAGTAAAAAAAAGCAGCAAATCAAAAGAAAATAATATTTAAGTGAATCCGAAGAAGGCTATTAAATTACAATAATTTCAGTCCCATCCAATAAAACAACAAAAAGGGCTACCAAGTGAAGATTTATGTGGTAATCCCATATATAATTATAATTATTTATTTATTTATTATTTGGAACTATAATTTATAATATATATATACAACAAAAAATTAATGAAAATGGGTTGAAAAAAGAATGGTAATTTGCCAACTTAAACTCATTTTGTTGTCAACTTTGTCATAATGCCTTGCACCTGATTTCCATCCCTTCCATGTCTCGGTAAGAATTTACTTGGCAGAAATTGATGGTTTTTTCATCTTAAGTTTCGAGTGCAAAAATTCTGGGCGGATCATCGGACAAAGACTGGCGGTGGTGGCGGATTGATGACCGGAGCGGCCTTCTGAGCCAAACGTGCTAAAACTTCCTTGTGATATTGCTGCAAGAAAAAGAATCGGTTATCATGTAGTATAATCGAAGCATGTTCGATACTCGGGTTGCCAACAGTTTGACACTATGAAAACAACAAATATTCGGAGATTCAACGGCGATTTCATTGGCCTGTCATCATGTAAAGATAGAAGCTATAGAGAGAGAGAAAGGGTCGACCCTGGAATTTTCTTTGGGGTCAAGGTAAAAATAAAAAAATGAGGATCCCAAAATGTAATTTTTCCATTTAATTAAAGGGTTAATAGGGATCATATTGAACTATTAAGTTTTTGGAGGGACTAGAATATATTTGTCCCCCTTGGATTTTAAAATTGTTATATAGTATATACACACACCAAGTTCAGCAAAACACAAAGTGAGACGTTAGTGGCATTGTTAAATTTCCGGCATATTTCATAATGCAGAACATAAACGAAAGCCGGAAAATGAATACCTGAACGACAAAGTTGCGGCGTTCGCAGTCCAGGAACATGTTCACGGTCCAACCGGTCTTGGCCGCGATCTTATCTCTAACCGTCGAGAAGCTGATTTGGTCCCGAGAAGTAAACCGATCGACTTCATTGAACCAGAGACAAGTAAGGAGGTTGCTAATAGGAATGTGCTCTCTTATTATCACACATCCTTCGGGAACATCTGCAGATCCAGTCGGCAGTCATTAAAGCAAAAGACTCGTTAAAACCGAAAGAGGCAGGGTCGAAACTTAAGTTAACCGGAGCAAGTTATCATGCAACCCTACCACTTGTAATAGGAAGTTTAGCCTCGGAATACGGTGTCAAACCCTCCTTCCTGTAGAAGTCGATCTGAAAGTCGATGGAGGCATTATCGTATTTGCCAGCAGCTTTATTTGCCTCGGCTTCATCGAACACATCAAAGCGTTTATAATGCCTAGAGATCGCGAAAGTGGCGTTTTTTCTCCACAGAAACCTGAAGAAAGAATCGAAAGAGTTGGAATAAACAAATTGTTCCCGGAACCTGCCTAACATACACGAAACCGGGCGGAAATTCCGAGTACCTCTCGAGAATTTGGTATGGATCAAAAATAAGCTCAAGTTTCCCATCAATCCACAAAGAAAAACGAGCATTTGGAAATAGCCGATGCGTTAGAAGCTTTGGAATCTGTCATACAGGCACAGAATGTATCAAGCAATGCAGACCATATTAATTGTGATTCTCTAACTCTGATCTAAACGCAAACGATATGTCTGTCCACGATATAAATAGTTACCTTTCCGTTGCGCCTTCCGTCGGTGTAAGGAAGGTTGTGCACGACAACAATCCTCCATACACCGATCTTCTTAGTCTCGTCCAGACCACCGTTAGCTATCAAATCAGCTTCAGTTTCTTCATCCGCAAACATGAAGAAGCATACGGTTTTCTTCGAGTATTCGCTGATATTCTTTGGCTGTTGTATGACATCAAAAGCTCCTGAGAAAGTAATCGAATCATTCGATGAAAGTTCATTGGCTCCAGCATAGGAATTGAACAATAAAACAAGTATAATACAGTTTGGTACCGAATATTGCAGATGCAACTACCACTCCATGGCATTGCTCCATCACAAGAAGATCGTTGTCATTGATGTCGAATCCCGTCCTGCGACCAGGTTTGCTTCCTTTGACAAATCTGTCAAATGCACAACACGAATCGAACATAAACTAAATCGATGATACCGTACCATGTTCACTAGGGGTAAAGGAATCCGAAGAGGTGAACCATACCCGCAATGTACATCCATAGACTCTCTTAAATCGTATGAATCATCCCGCTGCCTCAAAGTAGGATATCCACCAAAGTCGGAACCACCGAACTCCGTCTCTTTATTCAAGTTTTCCTCGTAAATATACTTTAAGTTCTTGACTACCGGAGAAAATGACGGGACTTTCGGTATCAAGGCGATAGCTTCCTCAGTAGGAATATAACATACAGGACAGGCTGTTACATATACAAGCAAGCAAACTCAGAAACTATGTTTCGAACATGGAAAACCCGAATTCGAACCGAGAAAGGGAACTTACGGCGTGGTCCAGATCGTTTTTTGTCCGCCGGTGGAGGTGGTAAACTAAAACTGTTGCAAGGATGCCCTGAAGGAAGAGTGTAGCCTAGAAAATGTGATGGAGGCGGAGGCGGCATTACTCGAACTTCGGTACCTTCGTCGTCGACCGGTAAAGATACCCGATTCTCGATTCCGACACTTTGCACATCATTTATCAATGGAGTCACCGAATTGTTCATAGGCAAGCTATCATCTACCTTGGGAGCATTGTCATTTTCTTGATCTTCACCTTTAAACAAACCAACCGAAACACACCCGATTTCAACATCACATCCTCAAACAACTAAAGCCAATTGGAAACTGGAATCTAACAATCATCACATTCTTCAATTCAAATCAAAGTTTCAGACAGTAAACAAAACCAGAAACACTTACTAATTCCACTGGTAAGAAAACGAACCTTTGCCAACGTATAAGACCCGAACAAAAACAGCAGCAGAGATGAGAAAAAGGATGAGCAATCCAATGTTCTGGCGACCGGCGAATTTGCAGATCCAATGAACCAACGATTCCTTTTCTTTGAACAGTTTAAAAGGCTTGGTCCTGGTCGTCGTTGAAGGGGCTTGAATCGGCAAAACTCCATTTTGCTGCTGCTTGTCTAAAGAACCATAACTCCCAGAACGAATCCCCAATGAACCCCCACTCATTGTCTCTTTGTTAACAATCCCAGTGATTAAAACTTAGTTGACTACTTTGAAGGGCAAAAATCTGGTTTTTTTAAGTTTTTGATTGGTGGGTCAGGAAAATTCGAAGTTTATTTATATATGAAAAATTTATGACATGAATGTGACGTGTAATTAAACCCTGACAGGCTAATTCACCTCCATGTGCGCATGATGTCCTTGCGTCGGACACTGATGACTCACCTTTCGCTTTTGTAATAAAAATAAAGGGTTTTTAAATATTTTTAATTTAATCCCTCAATTTTTTCTATTAAAATTTTTTGTCATTATAATAATATGTCACTTTTGGAGTGGTTATGCGGCACAATTTGGAATGTTTCAATATTAAAAATGACAATAAAAAAAGGTTATCGAGTCTACGGATTGTGGATAAAGAAAATTAGGGATTAAATTAAGTTTTTATTCAATATAAGGACTAGAAGTTATTTTATCCCTAAAAAAAGCCAAACGACTAAACAAATTTTCAGTGAACATTGCAACAGTATGTGAACTGAAAAATGAAAATGATTGCTGTCTTTCTACTTTTTTAATTTCAATTTTTAGTTGAATATTTTTTATAATTATTATATCCGTTGTTAAACTAATTTTGATAAAATAATATAAAAATTTATTATGAAATTAATTAATCAATTCCAACCTAAAATCATAATTCAATCCATAATCTCACAAAATACAAATTTAAAAATTGATGGATAACATTTTGATATTATTTCAAATGAAAATAATATTAAGAAAATGTATTAATATATTCATAAATCGATTAAAACACATAGCTCAAAGAAATTTAATTAAATATATTACTCTAAAAATAAATTTATATTTTTAGTGCAGAAAATTTATAAAAAAAAATTGCCGGCTCACGTTATGCTTCAATCATATTTGGGGTGGAATGAATGTTTTTATTTATAATATATTTCAATTTTATATTTTTCAATAATTTATATTGATTGGTGCTCGTCAATTATGGGAAATTATGCTTGGAATTGATGGAATTACGACTCAAAAAATGTCTTAAATGTTGGGTTTAATTCAAACCTTTTAAATGAAAATATTTTTTTAGAGAGTTTTGTTTTTTCATTTTTTTTAAATTCAGTTTTGGACCTTTGACATTTCAAATTATTCAATTAAGTATCTCACGTACTCACAAATTTAACATTTCGAACTCTTTTTAAAATTTTATTTCACCGTATTTATGGAATTTCAGAAGTACAAACATCACGAATTTGAGGATGTTACAACTTACAAACTCAAGGAGCTCCTACCAAAAAGAGATATATCTAGCAATATATTGTCCGACTCTATACTCTTTGCCTGTGTCCGACTCTATTCTAGAAATATATTGTCTAAAAGTAATAGGGCTACTTGATTCCCATGCTAGCAGTTGTAGTATGACACGCCTCGTTTCCTGCACAGGATATATCTAGCATTCAGTACACAATAGCCAATGTGCTTTGTTCTCGTTAGAAGTACCCGACGCTTCGACTCCGAAATGTTGTTGCCGCGACAACTTTCGAAATGGACATAGTCATCGTAGGCAGCCCTGTTAACCGTGGTGATTGAGGGTTCGTCGATAGCCGTCGCCATGGACAAAAGCATCAACATAAGCAAGACTCTGAAACCCATTTCGGGGACGTTTTAGAATGAAAATAATGTATGTTAAAGTTAGTGGAATGTGATGAGAGGGAGAAGGTTGATGAGGCCAAAGGTTTGGCATTCCTGATAAGGGAAGGGAAAAGAGATAAAAGCAGAGTCAAGATGGAGAGATTTAGAGGGTTAATTCGTGGTTTACAGTTTTTGTTTATAGAAAGTTGATTTCTTCTAGGGCTTTTCCATCTCTTACGCCCTTCATTTATCAATGCCTCTAATTCGAATGTGAACCCAACTTATGTATAAATACGGGTTAGATCGGATTAGTTTTTTATCTACTCAAATTTGATTCGAGTATTATGCTATTCACCTATTACGATCCAATCCAAGTTTAAGAAAATTCTATCCAACTCGATTTTTGGGTTAAAACTCACACACCCATCGGATTCAACACAAATTTTTATTTTATTTTGATAAAATAAGAACATAATTAAAAAATATAGAGATATCATTATAATTGTCTCGACATATATAAGAGATAATTTACACTATTTTCTCGAATCAGATCTGATTTTTTACCATAAACATGAACTCAATCCGATTTTATGCTCCAAAAAACTCAATCGGGGATTAAAAATTTCCTTTTTGAATCAAATTATCTCGAATCAAATTGTTTAATGACAATTCAAAGGGATCAAAAATTTATCTGATTTATCAAAATATAAAAATATATTTATTTTTTATTGTATAAAATAAATATAAATATATATAATTATACCATCCTTAAGTACACAATACTCGGTCAAAAAAACTGAGAATCATATAGTAATCTGGACAAATATATGTTCATTATCTATTAGTTCATTGTCGAAATATATATCAAACATATTAAAAATATAATTATTTTATATCTATCTTATAAATATCGTTAATGTGTACTAATAATGACCAAAATTATGATGCGTAAATGTTGAAGGATAATTTTTTTTATTATGTAAACCAAAATTATGTACACGTAAAGAGAGAGTCATTATATAAACAGTGTCCACATTTCTTCTCGGAATAGTTTTGTCTAGAGTGAGAATGTTTTGGATTTCTTTATGGGGTGGTTGTAAGATCGAGAGACCCAGGTTTGTCTTGCGTCCAAGTCGAGCCAAGGCATCAACAAGGCTATTGACTTCATGTGAAGCGTATTTTATCGTGAGTATCTATTGATCGCTGAAAATAATTCCGAATTCTTTTGATAATTATTATCTCGTTTATTTGAATAAAGGAGTTAAATCTTCGAACATCTTCTAAATTATCCATCTCCACTTCAAAAGTTTCACGTCATGGTTCCATGTAATATCAAGACCATCGGGCAAACATGTTATTAATATTCCATAATTTATCTTTTTCGAAATTAATAGAGTTTCCTTTTTCGAAAGGGTCGATTTATATAATTTCAAGAATAAGAGGGACTTAAAAGAAATTTTGACCATAAATTTTTAATAACATATGGCCCAAAGAGCAGATAATAGCCTACTAAAATCCAATAGTTGCCCAAAGAGACGGGTTAATTAATTTATCATCTTCGAAGCACGCGCGTGAATAAGTAAGCGGGAAAGGGTCTTCTTCGTCCAGGTGAACGATCGACGGCCAGATGGCAAAACAAGAGTAAAGCTCACGCGCAGCTCAAGAATTCGCATCTCGACTTTCACCACCCCGGTCTCCTCCGTCGATGTCCCTTTCAGCCTACAACGCCTCCCCACGCGCCGGGAGCGATGATGAAAGCCGCGCTGCCTCGACCGCCGAGCCTGAAATTAACAGCTCTTCGAATCGAAATGGTTAGTCTATCGAATTTTGGGTGGATTGATTTTGAATTGTTTCAGTATTTATGACAATTTAGTTTTCTAGTAGGAGATCAAATACTTCCATTTGTTCGAAGTTTTGATTTTTTTAGAAGATTGCATTGTTTTGGGAGCAAGGAAATTAAAAAGAAAGAAAAATGACATTGACTTTCAACGTGGAAAAAGATTTATATATTTTCCTTTCTGTGCATTCATTCAACAAGATTGGATTTACAATTGAACCTAAGTATTTTAGTATTTTGAGAAATTTTGTAACCATTTTTGTGATTTGCAGTTAGCTTTAACACACTGTTACACAGTGCTGTGACCTCTTTGCATCAGCAGGTTGGTCTATCTTTATCTTGTTGCTGCAGTACTGCAATTGAAACATCAGTGCAGGCACTTGAATATATTTTCGCTTTCTTTTGGCTGGTGATTAAATGTTAAAAGTCCCCAGATTACAATAAAAGAAAATGTAAAAACTTCGTATTTTATTCAATATTATTTCATTGTGTGACTGGAAATGTTGGATGTTTCTTGCCATCGTGATGGTCTTTTTCTTCCATGTAGATGCTACTATTGTTATGGAGTCCAGTGAGCATGATGGACAATTTGGGTCAGATTCGTTTAATACTCCTGCAAATTGTGGAACAAGAATATCATCTAAAACCCTTGATGTAGGACAGGGTAGTGCTAATATTAAATTTCTAGTCTTCCAAATGAACTGTTGACAACTCAAAAGGAGGATCTATGCACAAAATATGATGGTTCTAAGTATTCAGTATCTGGAAAACAGCCTGCAAAGGAAAAGGCAATTCAAGAATATATGGTTCTTGGAAAAGACACCCAAGCCATTTTAGAAAGAAAATCCCCTGAAGACTACCATGATCAGCATACTAAAGAGCTTGCTGTCAATGAGGTTAATTCCATTCCGGTCGGAAATCACTCAGGTGAAGGATTTCAGAGTGGTCTAGGTTTTGAGGAAAAAAGTAAGCAAATGGATGTGCAAACAGAGGATGGCAAGAGGAAGATAAAATCAAGGTGGGTGGAGACCTATATGCCTTTTATAACATAAAATGAATCCAAGTTCCGAATCATGAAAATTTTGCCTTCCAAAGATTGTACATCCATTGATTTACTAATCAATAGGTTTCACGGGTCTGCTGCTTCTCAGACTAGTGCTGGGAGTCTACCCCTGGCATTAATAGTGAGAACAAACCCCTGCGCTTATATGTGACTTCTTTTCTAGAGGATGGTGTATCAAAGGGAGTTCATGTAGATTTCTTCACATAAAAGATGGGGAAAATCCTGGACAACAGCCCGAGGAAGATGTAATTGTAGCATATGGGAAAAGAACCGTTGAGCTTGATGAAGGTAATAAATATCTTCTGCATTAAAGAGATCCAGAATCTTCTCTACGTGCTATTTTAATAAGAACCTTATGCATCAGGTTTTAGAAATGCTGCTGAAAGATCAAATTCTCCTTCTTCTATTGATACACGGCCTTCGTCAGTTGTGAATAAGGCCGGAATATCTTCTCAGTTCTTTCCAGAAAGAATCTTGCCATTGGGGCATGATGAAAATCAAAGATTGCATCAAATTCATGGAATTAATAAGTTCCCTTTGCTCCAGAGTAAGGAGAAATCCATGGACACTTCCCCTGCCTCTCAGCGGTTTTCTGCATCTATAAATGGTTTGGGACCACCTAAGGATGTAAGGGAAAATGGTATAGGTCAGAATTTTCCTGATGATAATTATGCGAAGCCTGCTTCACTGGGTGATAAAGGTACCTTCAGGAATAGTTTTATTCCTGAGAATATATCATCATTAAGCGGCTCAGTTACGTCATTGGGCAATGCATATAATGAGAATCAATCTCACCATGTCTCGACATGCCTAGCATCACTGCCTTTAAATTATTCTTCAAGTGCATGCTCTCTTGGTGCTCAAAAGATGTTGGACAATGACAGCGAGCGTTGTACATCAAGGTTAGCTTGTTTGCTGCAAGTTGGTTCCCCCTTCCTAGCATATGGTGATTCCACATCAACAGGGCCAATGATCCCTGAACGTAATGATGATAAAAGAACAGCATCTTGTCAAAATGGATACCATGAAAATTGGGTCAACAATAATTGCTACCCTTCCGGAAAAGATTCACTAGCAACTGTTGCAAATGATGGAACTTCTGCAGCTGAGATGCAAAATGGAACTCTGCTGAAAGAAGAGATCTCCTCGGTTGCTTCTCGTGTCAAAAACATTTCAAAGGGAAATAAAATTGATACAGATCATGATAGCAGACATCGAAGAGGCGGGACTAGATGCAAAAAAGGCTTAGAAGTAGACAGTTGTAGGGAAAATAAGGAAAATAAAATTGATACAGATCATGATAGCAGACATTTCAAAGCAACGAGGCATTTTCATGCTGCTCTTGTAGATTCAATTAAAGAACTGTTGAAACCAACTTGGCGTGAGGGTCATCTCAGTAAAGATGCTCATAATACTATAGTCAGAAAATTAGTTGACAAAGTTCTTGGTAGCATACAACCTCGTCAGGTTCCAATTACCTTCGAGTCAGTTAAGCAATATCTTTCTTCAGCCCAACCAAAAATTGCAAGACTTGTTGAGGAGAGAGTCTTTGATTCCAGAGGCACTATTCTGTGCAAGTTCTATAAAATAAATGCTCTGTTTCTTCTACCAATCCCCTTCATCCAACTAAAATAGATCCACATCCCCAAAGTGTGAACATTGCTTTTCTCTATCAATTAAGTGAACAATTATTTAGTAATGTATTTTTTTTAATGTAATTTATTCATAATTTGACATTATTTTTTCTATTTTGCAGGGATATATCGATAAATACAGAAAATCTTGAGATGTTAGGTAGAGTGCTTATGTATCTTTTGCACATTTTTATTAATGAAAGTCGTATACAATTTAAACCGAGTATCATGAAATTCTGGATTTTTCATGAAATGTTTTCGTAAATATTCGTTTTTGTTTTCTTTATTAGCTGTATGTAGAACGAATTTCTGCAAGACACGTGTCTTCCTAACAGTTGTCAAGTCTAGGAGAATATGTTATTCTTCTTAGCTTGCATGTTGGGAGATTTCCATTGGAGTTTAAGCTGAACATTTTAGAAGTAAAATGGAACAGATAGTTAGTTGCGAGGTTACTTGTACGCTAAGCAACACTTTTCATGGATATAAGGTAGGAATGGTTAAAAAGTATAGAGTTATATCATAGTGCCTTGCAGTTTTCAAGAAAATTTTAGGTGGGTTGCAATATGGAACATAAGAGCTCTATGGTTATGGTGATACGGATATTGATATTCATGATCTCTATGCTCCAAGATTATGGATCAAAACTGGCGTGAAATATGTTGATTTTTTGTGGACGCTTTGATCATCTCTTTGGTCTGTCTTACTTGTTCTCTAATGACATATGACGTATTATTCTTTAGCAAAATAACAATTAAAAAACGCGAAGCTATTAGACAAGTCGCCACGTGTAAGCATTTTTCGGATCAGCCGCCTTTTCGTTCCTCTTTTACATTTTAGACTTTAGTCTGAAGTCAAACTTCACAGTTTTCAGACAAATATATTAATTTTCAGAATAAAATAATTAATCGACCCGTAGACCACTTCAATGGGTTGTCGTCTCCTTCATCAGCAATGGACTAAAATCCCCACAAATCCAAACTCAGTTCCATTAAACCTTGAAGCAACCCCGGTCAGCGTCAACTGCTAAATCCATGGCCGGAAATCTTCTTCAATTGGACCCTCAAACGGCGGCAGAAAAGGTGGTTTCGGTTATTGGGTTCGGGTACGATATATCCAAGGATATAAGACTATCCGCTTGCAAGCCGGGTCCTTATGGTTCGAGATTGATCGAACTTGATACAGCAGTGAGTCGTGACCTGGTTTTTCCTGGTGGGGTTGTTGTTAAAGACGTTCCCAATTTGATTAAATGCGATAAAGGAGAACGTACAAGGTTTCGCTCTGATATTCTTTCTTTCAATCAGGTAATTTTTATCTATTTTGCGTGCTTTGTGTATGTATGTATGTATTGTTTCTATTTTTGCTGGTTTTTGTGCATCTTTGTTCTTTGGTAGGTTGTTTTGCAAATTAAGTATGCCTATGTATATGTTGTTTCTGTTTTAGCTGGTTTTCGTGCTTCTTTGTTCTAATGAAGTTTTTTTGCAGTTTAACTTGTCCATAAACATTTGTAGTATAAAGAAAGTAACAGAAATCCAAAAATAAACGAGCTCCGAATTCAAGTGTTTTCTTTAGTCTTTGCCTCGTGGAATTTTCACTTCCGCTGAATTTAACTTGTCGGTTTCATTGTGTGCTTTGATTTCGGAAAAGTTCAATCAGGATCTCTCTTTATCCGGCAAGATTCCGTCAGGATTATTCAATGCCATGTTCGAGTTCAAGGGCTGCTGGCCGAAGGATGCCGGCGCCACAAAAACTCTTGCTTACGATGGTTGGTTCATAACTCTGTACAATGTCGAGCTTGAAAGGGTTCACATAACTTTGTCCGAGCGAGTGAGGCAAGAGGTGCCTAGTACATGGGACCCTGCCGCCATTGCCGAGTAAGTTTTTTTTTTTACATATGCTTGAGTACGTTTTGGAGTAAAAGGCCTGCTTGGAATCAAGATTTTATATTGTAATGAATTGCAGTCCTCTCTGTTCCGATTATAACACAAGCACGATGGCTGCAGTTATAACTTTAGTGTCTCCGTTTGGGTTAACCATGTGTGTTCGTGTTGATTTTCTTAAATTTATCCTTACCGATTATGTTTCTCCTTCTCCAGGTTCATTGAAAAATATGGTACTCACGTTATCATTGGGGTTAAAATGGGAGGTAAAGATGTTTTACACATAAAGCAATCAAAGAATTCAAATCTTGATCCGAATGAAGTGCAAGAAACTTTAAAGCAATTAGCTGATGAGAGGTTCTCCGAAAACGGCGAAACTCCTGAATTCTCAGGAAAACCGAAGGTACAAATGATGCATACTTATTAGTCTGTTATTGTTTTTTGCATTCTAGAGTAGGCAAAACTATGTTTTTCGATGAATTTCCGGGGAATGCTCACTTTGCACTGTATTTTATTGCTTCAGGATGAGCCTTATATGCCCTGGGACCTTCAAGGAATGCTTGCTGCATCAATTAGACCACCTGTTATTACTCGCTCGAAGAATAATGTAAGTTTCTTAGTGTCTATTTTAGCTGCTATTCCGGAACCGCACCAATTAAGAAGCAACCTGCATTTGGTAATGTTGACTCTCTCATTTAACTTTGCAGGATATTGTGGTTGTTTATATTCGAAGGGGAGGTGTTGATTTCAGTCAAAGTCACAGCCGGTGGCTCTCGACGATATCAGTCTCCCAAAGTTATATCAATGTCCTTTGTGCCTATTACTTCTCTACTGAGTGGTGCTCGGGGAAATGGATTTTTAAGCCATGCCGTGAACTTATACTTACGATGTGAGTTCGCATAATCGTACGTTCCGGTTGATCTTTCCGATGCTAAACATCTAGATACATATTGTATCCCCTTTGAGTGTATGGTGAAGGCATATGTGAGCACTGGCATCGAATGGTGATATACTAATATCTTGCAGATAAACCACCAATAGAGGAACTCCATGTCTTTCTCGAGTTTCAATTACCTCGACAATGGGCTCCTGTGTACGGCGATCTTCCTCTCGGTCTCAAGCGAAGAAAACAAGCATCCCCGTCGCTTCAGTTCACTTTCATGGGGCCTAAACTTTATGTTAATACAACACGGGTATCGTATTGCAACACTCAATAATACTTGTTCTATTCGTTTTGATATTTTAGTTATTTATGATTGCTTGCTGCTTATTGAAGTTTTACATTCACTGTTACTGAACTTGTTCTACCGGAACTCATGCTTGTGATTACCTTTTTCATTCGTTAGTCCCAAATTGCCGACCTGTTCTTGAATCCTCCATTTGCAGGTTGATAGTGGAAATCGACCCGTGACGGGAATACGCTTATACTTGGAAGGTAAGAAGAGTGACCATCTAGCAATCCATCTTCAGCATCTTTCAACTCTTCCAACAATCCTCCTACTCTCGGATGATCACAGTTATGAGCCTATCGACGAGTCCGAACGTGGGTACATCAAGCCTGTCAAGTGCAGCATATTCTCACATGTATTCACCGCACCTATGCAATACAATGGAAGCCACTTTGATGATACAGCTGCTATTGTAACCAAGGCTTGGTTTGAGGTAAAGGTTGTCGGGATGAGGAAAGTTCTTTTCCTGAGGCTCGGGTTCTCCATGGTCGCCTTCGCTAAGATCCGTCAATCCGAATGGGATGGCCCCGCGACATTGTCACGGAAATCGGGGGGTTTCTCGACGCTGATCAGCACAAGGTTTAGTTCAGGGCTGACTCAACCAGAGAAGCCAACGAAAGTGGATTTAAATTCAGCTGTTTTCCCTGGAGGTCTGCCTTCACCACTGAGAGCACCGAAAATGACGAACTTTGTAGACACAAACGAGACGGTTAGGGAACCGGAGGACTCACCGGGATATTGGGTTATTACCGGGGCCAAACTTAGTGTAGAAGGTGGCAGAATCTCAATCAAAGCAAAATATTCGTTGTTAACAATAATGTCAGAAGAAAGTATGATGTTAATGTGAGAAAAAACAGATGCTTGTGAGGCCATTCTCCTCAAATATTCATTGGTTAACATGCATTATTTGTGTCATTGTAAATGTTACCATTTGCTTCCTTTAATCAAAATTATAAGGTGATTTTTTTCTCAAAATTTAATTTTTTAATAGAGGTGTTCGTATGTTGGAATAGTAGTAACATGTTATATATATATATATATAGAGGACGATAATATCAGGGCCTGGTTGATGATTCATCGACTATTAGTTGGTATAACAAATGACACGTTACATTTTTTAAATAAGGTCAGAGATTTATTTAATTTATAATAAATTTTTACAGTGTCTTATTCAAATTAGTTCGATTAATAAATTAAGTACTAGTGATTATATAACAAGGACCTATTGTTGATTGATATGGTATTGATAATTGAGAAATTAATTAAAATGTTTAGAAATTTTAAGACAAATTGAAAAATTTATATTATAATTTGGGATGTCTATGTAATTAGCCCTAAATATAATCATTGATGTCACAAATTTTCTAAAGTACAAAACGACACCGATTTTGACGAGTTTCGATTTCTGTTCTAGGGCTTCCCCATTTTCTCATTCTCACACCATCTTTAGAAAACCGAGCAGAGAAGAAAAGAGCTTAACACCATCGAAATCAATGGCGACGAGCGGACAACCAAAGCAACAACAGCAACAGAACAAAACGACAGAGAAGAGAAAGCCAGTGTTCGTAAAAGTGGACCAATTAAAGCCAGGTACCAATGGCCATACCTTAATCGCCAAGGTCTTGTCTTCTAACACCGTCCTTCAAAAAGACCGACCCGCTTCTCAAAATCTCCGACAAAACCGAATCGCCGAGTGTCTTATCGGAGACGAGACCGGCACCATCCTATTCACTGCTCGTAACGATCAAGGTCCATTTACAAACCCCCTCCTTGTTTTTAAATTTTCTTAAGGATATTCATGCTTTACTGTTCTATTTTATTTTATTTTTTTGAGTAATTTACCATTCTGATTTTAATTCGTCTCGAAAAGGGTACATTTTGTTTTTGTCATTGATGCCAAAAGCTTTGATCTCTCCTTTGTTACGTGAAATGAACTATTCTATATGTTATAGCCCACACTCGTTGACAAAAACCGGAAACTGTTTTCGGGTTTTCGATTTTGTTTTGCCTGAAGAAATTATTTTGAGAAGGTGACTTGATTTATCAATGGAGTTTGATGATAATCATGCTTGAATCATTTTGCAGTTGAGTTGATGAAGCCTGGTAGTACTGTAATTCTTCGTAATGCAAAGATCGATATGTTTAAGGGTTCCATGAGGTTGGCTGTCGACAAATGGGGCCGTATCGAGGTCACCGACCCTGCTAACTTTGTTGTCAAAGAAGATAACAATCTATCACTCATCGAGTATGAGTTGGTTAACGTTGTCGAAGAATGATAAGAGACATGCATGGACTTCCGCGATTAGATCCTGAAGGAGTTCTTATCATGTTGGCCTAATGATTCTTTCATCTCCATAGTGTCGTGGTGGTGCTGTTTCGGAACAAATTTTCACTGCGAAAGTCTCAGGTTTGGTATACAAATGTTGCGGTTTGCTGCTCTTTATGCCTTGTTCTTACATCAAATGGTTTAGTTATGAAGAAATACTATTTCTATCTCGTGAAACTGCTTCCGAATATTCAAGTGATGATAGTAAAATCCTTCTAGCATTGATGTTTTTGTTTCTTCCTTGCTTTATTCATTCTCGTTTGTTCTTTCATCAAAATGTTTGCTTTGGAGTGTCGAACTTAATGACATTGAACTTAAATATATCATTGCAAATTCACTTTTTAATGTCCACAAATGCTGCATATATATATATATCTCGAGATGTTCTTGGTTTACGGTTTAGTAAGAAACAATCCCAGGATGCAACTTTCGTATCAGTTTTGTGTAGGGAAGTTGTTTCTGATATTTGCATTCATGTCCAGTATGTGCATTAACAACTTATCCTCATGATAAAATTCGTGGGATTTCATTTTCGACTTGGTCGGATGGACGCATACATGTTTGTTGACAGGCTTTGGCTTCTGTGACTGTAATCCAAACTCACCCCAATCTTATCTGCAAGTTCTAGAATTGTTAATCCCTCCGGTGAAAGAACATGAAAAGCTGCAAATTCGACAGTTCTGGGTGTCAAACGATGCCTCCATCTTCTTGGAAGTAACAGACCTTTTCGAGCTTCTTGCTAGTGAAAACTCACCACAAATAAGTCGAGGCGTCGGTGAAACATGTAGTTGATCACATTAGCAGCAGCATCCTCAACTATAACACTCATGATGTTAATATTATAAAATATCAAGAATTAATAAAATGATTATTCATATTGTCGCGACCGTCTTTCGGTTGGGTCCCAGAATTAGGCTTCGACTTGGATTAAACGAATTGGAGTCGTCACTGATCATTTTAAAAACATTTAGGTAGATCGGAGACCATCTTACCTGATCTGCGCTTTACCAGAAATGTGTTTGGTTCGAGAGTCGGTTATGGTCAAGGAAAGATTAGCACCCTTGAACCGTCCTTTCGATATCAATTAATATGTTGGTTGTCTTTAATTACGAAAATTTAAAATTAAAATTAAAATTTAAAAGTATTAAATTCGAATTACTTACCTTTTGACTAGTTAGAATTACGACTGAAACAAAATGTGTTAGATAAATAAATAAATAAATATATATATATATATGTTAATATAATAATAATAAAGAAAATAGACATTCACAAGATATAAAAATATAAGCAGAGATTAAATTGATTAAATTGAAAATTTAGAAGTAAAATTGAAGTAGGTGACTGAATCGAATTGGGACTCAAATGTATAGGGACCACAAAAAGAATTATACTATTTTCTAATTACACACAAGCTCCTCGCATATAAATACCCTTTTAAACCCCAAAATTATCATTTAACACCAAAACACAAAAAATCTAAACACACTCCCCTCTCTCCTAAGCCAATCGTAGCCCGGCCACCGTCCGGTGACCTCTCTCCACCGCACCGCTGTCGATATTCTAAATCTGAACCCCAAAACATCAAACTCGAGCCATCCCGGCGTAGATCTAGCAAACAAGTCTCGGTTTTTTACCTTTCTCTGGCGTCTGTTCGCTTTTCCGGCGACTTCTTCCCGAGTTTAGATCGGGTTGTTTTTTTGGTTTTTTTTTGTGTACGATTTGATGATGTTACTATTGGCTTGACTGTGTTTGGGTTATTTGTTTTTGTGCTTCCTGTTGCTTCGATTGTTCTCGGTGTACTCACCGTGGCTTGATGATGGTGGTTTTGTGGTTTGAATGATTGTTTGGCTTTCTGTGTTGATGGTACTTGGTTTACTCGTTCACTGTGTTGGTATTGTTGGTATTGTTGTGACCGTTTCTTGGGTTCGATGGTTCGTTCTCCGTGTGTACTGTTGTTGGTTGTGTCCTATGATACTTGATGATCTTGGCAGTGTTTGTGGTAGGGTATTTATACCCCACCGGTGCTCTTCTTTTCCTATCTTCGCGGTAACCACCCCATCGTTGGCCGGGGGTTTCGAGATGGGTCAGTACCGATTCCCTTGGTCGGATATCTCGGCCTTTCATGACGTTCCTTGACTTGCTCCCTGTTTCCCTCTATGCAGCGCTGACCGTTTTGGGTTCCAGAAACCCTAGTCTTGCTGTGTAATCTTCATGCACTTGGGCCTAACCGGGTCAACTGGATCAGGCTACCTGGTTGGGCCTGTTGGACTCTGACTTGGACCCTTTTATTCGGACCTAAACTTTGGACCTACAAAAAAAATAATAAAATGTTAATAATAATAAAACAGAGAAAAGGAAAAAAAAGAAATAATAATAATATATTATATATAAAAAAATATTTTCCAAAACCTATATAATATATATTTTTAAAAATATTTTACAATTATATATTAAATATTTTTTTTAAAAATATTTTCAAAATTATATAGTTTTCAAAAATGTTTTTAAAACTATATATTATATGTTTTCAAAATGATTTCAAAACTATATAATATATATATATATATGTTTTCAAAATGTTTTTTTTAAAACTATATATATATTTTTAAAATGTTTTAAAAATTATATAATATATATATTTTCAAAAATGTTTTAAAAACTATATATTATATTAATTTTCAAAATGTTTTTAAAAATTATATAATATATATATTTTCAAAAAAAAATTGAAAATTATATATTATATTAATTTTCAAAATGCCTTAAAAACTATATAATATATAAATGTTTTGAAACATATTTTCAAAACTATATATTATATATATATAAAATTAAAAAAATGAGGCAAAAATAATTGTCAAACCAATACGAAAGAAATAACGATGATTCTATAAAATCGAAATATATGGCAAAAACACTTAAAGTATAGAGTGAGTTTACCTTCCCCTTCGTGTTTGTTTCATCAACAAAACACGTGAGTATCCTCTTATCTAATATTACTTCACTTGAATTTTTCACAAAATTATTCGTATGATTTCCATCCAATTTTAGCTTTCCTTTTGCTTTTAAAGGAGTTAAGTCGGCGTCACAACCAAAAGCTGCCCATGATTTTCCATCTTTTACTTCAAAGAATCATCCTTTCACACTGTGATATCATACTTCTGAATTTTTATAATGTTAGGTCTCTCTTTGGGTAAATGATCTATTTGGTCACCCACCTATTGCTTAGTTTCTATTTTGGTCACTCAACAATTTTTTTCTTTCAAAATCACACTTAACGTTACTACTTTTAGTTTTATTTTGATAACATGTCGTTAAACAATTAGCAGTGACACTGATATGTCACCATAAGGTAATGTCATGTCAGCATCACCATTAATTTTTTTGATGTTGTGATCAAAATAGAACCAAAACATCACATTAGATATGATTTGTAAAAAAATAATAATTGAGTGACCAAAATAGAAATTAAGAAAATAAGTGAGTGACAAAAATAGATAGTTTACCATTATTATTTATATAATAATAGTAAAAATAATTTTAAGGGTAAATTATATTGATAGTCATTGAATTTTTAGGATGTTTTCACTTTAATATGAACTTTTAAAACTTATATTACAATCATTATACTTCTAATTCACTTTCATTGCAAAATATTATTGTTAGTTGTTGTTAAGAAATACTGACGTGATATATTGAAGTTCTCTTTCAAATTCTCTTCTTTATCTTCGTAAAGGTTAATTTTTCGATAAACAGAGGGATTGTCAGTTAGTCTCAATAGTGAGAAGGTTCTGTTTGACCAAAAAATTAACATGATTTGATTTAAGTTGGTCCAATAATTAACAATGACATATCATACAGTTTTAACTTTTAGTTTCAATTGAGATTTGAGGAGATTAAAGTGTTTTTCGACGAGTTTGAACTGAAAAAAAGAAGAAGAAGAAAGAATGAGTAGTTTGATTAACACGTTTGATCAAGTGAACTATGATGGCAAAAGGAGGCAACAATCCTTTAAAAATTTAAAAAGTAAAACTTTTTTATTTGTCAAGGTTAACCGTCAGGTCAACTTAAAATTAAAAAATGTTAATATTTTGGTCAAATAAAACCTTCTCACTGCTTGGATTGATTAATGATCGCTTTGTTCATTAAAAAATAGTCTTTACGATAATTACTAATTTAAAAAATTAACTTTTTTATAAAAAAAAATTTAATGTGTCACATCATCATTTCTTAATTGCACTAACCACAATGACGGTAAACAAAGCAAATTACAAGGTTTAAAACTTTAATGACAGGAGTAAAAGTATCCTAAAAGTTTAGTGACTAACATTATAGTTTACTCTAATCATAAAATGAATCAATTAACTCTTAAAAGTTTATAATGAAAAAAAAATCCTTATTTAAGTTTTTTCCAGCCTACACTCCCAAGCCCCTCCACAAAAAAAAAAAAAAAATGGCGGCAGCAGCAAAACCTAAAGAAGCCGTTTGCGTGACCGGAGCCAATGGGTTCATAGGCTCATGGTTGGTCCGCACCCTAGTCGAACAAGGCTACACCACCATCCACGCCTCCATCTACCCGTCCTCCGATCCCACCCACCTCTTCTTTCTACCGGGCGCCACTTCCCCACTCGTGCATCTCCACGTCCACGAGGCCGACGTTTTGGATCCCGACGCCATCCTCAAGGCTGTCGAGGGTTGCCAAGGCATCTTCCATGTCGCCTCCCCCTGCAGCCTCGATGATCCCAAAGACCCAGAGACCGAACTCGTCAGACCAGCCGTGCAGGGCACCCTCAACGTGCTCGAAGCCGCGAGAAAAGCCAAGGTACGTCGCGTTGTCCTCACTTCTTCGATATCGGCAATGGTGCCTAACCCCAATTGGGATCATGGAACAAAAGGACCTTTCAACGAGTCATCGTGGACAGACTTGGAATACTGCAGAAATCAACATAAATGGTATCCGGTTTCCAAGACTTTAGCCGAGAAATCGGCGTGGGAATATGCCGCGAAACACGGCATCGATGTAGTGGCGATCAATCCATCCACTTGTTTAGGGCCTTTGTTGCAACCCATTTTGAATGCAAGTTGTGCCGTGCTGCTACAATTGTTGCAGGGCTCGAAAGATACTCAGGAGTATCATTGGTTGGGAGCTGTTCATGTTAGAGATGTTGCTAAATCACACATTTTGTTGTTCGAGTCTCCATTTGCTTCCGGTAGATACCTTTGCACCAATGGCATCTATCAGTTCTCTCAGTTTGCTCAAACTGTCTCTGAACTTTTCCCTCAATACCCTGTCCACAGGTTAGCAATTATCACGTGCTCATTGTTAAATTCACAATTCTAGAATCGATTTTCGAATTAGTTCGTACGAATTTGATCATTAACAATTCTATTAACATATAGTTTATCATAGAATTCTTGGGTAAAAACGAACTAGAGAAGGTTACCCTATTGAAATTCGTTTCACTTGACTATGATTTATGTTCTAATTTTCACTCGTTGTACTAAACCTATACGTGCTTTTGGTATCATAACTATTTCTGGTTATAGTTTATGGCTTATGTTTTCTTCAAAATTTTCATGGTAATTCTCTCGGGTGTGAGTGTCGAATACGAGTATGTTATCTTACATGGGTATGGTTAGACCTTTTGAAGGTTCTCCATGTATTTGGAGGAAGGAATAATGGATTGTTGAGAGCTTCTGTTTCCTTATCTTGATAGATTTCCTATTGTGAGTGTCAAATACGAGTATGTTATCTGACGTGAGTACGTTTAGACTTTTTGAAGGCTATCCATGTATTTGGAGGAAGGTATAATGGATTGTTGAGAGCTGATGTTTCCTTGTCTTGATAGATTTCCATTGTTTTTTCTTTTCGGATCATTACTAATTTGAGTAGGAGATGGTGGACACGGGACCCAAACCCTGATCAGTGATGCCACCATTGCAACTGTGACTTCGTTGGCAACCCCGTTGTTGTTTATATAGCTTGTCTTATGGTTGTTACAAGATTCGAACCCTTATTTATGATGCCGACAGAACAATGATTTTGCAACTCCGACAGTGAAATTTTCAGCAACTCCCTTCGATGGTTGCTATCAAGATTTTCATGCTTGTTCTTTAACCCCCCAAACCCCCATATTGTTATTGTGTTAGACTTGGTGGGAATTTCTAACATAGGTGAACAACATTGAACATTCCAGGTTTACAGGGGAAACACAACCGGGCTTAGTTTCTTGCGAAGACGCGGCCAAGCGATTAATCGATCTGGGTTTAGTCTTCACCCCGGTTGAAGATGCTGTTCGTGAGACCGTGGACAGTTTGGTAGCCAAAGGCTTCTTGAAAATACAGACTTAAAAATTAGAGATTCTGTTTATATATATATATATATATATATTCCCTTCTACATGTGTGTAAAGTAAGATGGCTGAAGTTTGCTCTTTGTTTTGGATCTGTAACGGATACGTATAATAATGCTCAAATATCTACTTATTATTCGAATTCGTTGTACTTTTTTGAAGAACAAATTTAGATATCAAAATTTGAATCTATCAATAGGCATGACATCTATTTTAAAAATGAATTATTCATTCAAATTTGAAATGTTTAAGCTTCGTCTTTTGTGTTGAGTTGAATTTAAACATATTTTATGTTGAATTGAATTTAAATAAGCGTACATGTTTTATTTTAGCACACCTAAGCCAGGATGAACCTCGAGTTAAGTTTTTCGTCCAAAGGGATGAGATTTCTTTATTGCTTGATGGCATTTGGTGACTTCTCTCTTGTATGACTGAGACGAATTGTCGTTCCTTTAAAAATCTCCATTGAGAATCTGAATCGAGCTGATTAAGGTGTTGGTGGTGTCGGATTTCATTATTACCGTCCGATACCTATCAAATTAATAGCTTTACTGCCATCTTATTTTATCTAACTGAGGTGGTAAGACTGAGCCCTGGAATTTTAGTACAGAATACATGAAAGGAGAGGCCTTTGCCCGATTACAGCGGGCATGAGTCGAGACAGCAAGTGATAAATGAATTCGGAGAACTGACGAGATCATACTACATGGATCCACAGCCACTGAACCATTTTGAGTGCCACCTTCATGAATGCGAGATCAACAAATGGGATGCTTGTGCCTTGCATAGTTCGGAATTGAAGCTTGTTGATGGTAAGAAAATTGCAAAGGGAAATCAGCGAACGACATGGTTGCTGATCTGGAGACACCGATGGGAAGACTCACGGCAGAGTTCACATCCGATAACAAGCGCTCTGTAAAAGGAAGGGATAAGAGTAAGGCAAAGGTTGGTGCTGGAAATCCTTATCCCACTCTCAATGTGGCAGCGCCAACGAGTGAAGGGCTCGATTACGGGCTTAAGAGGCACCAGCGAGTAAGATTCTGTATTTTCTCTGGTCCTTTTTGCAGGTTTTCATTATCAGAAAACCAAGTTCATGAATATTGAAGAGTCCCAGTAACAGAGATGTTCATGATAACGAGTCAACATCATCAGAAGTACCTGTTATAACAGTGCTGAAACTTTCTTGGCAAATCCTGCACGAGGCTTCACCGATCAAGTTGTTCATATCACTGGAACAGATAAAACACCACCAACTTATTAAAACAAAGCAATACCATCTTTAATTAATTTTTTGATTAATTGCACTAGATGTCTCCAAACTATTGCCCTGATCCCAAAGTAGTCCTAAACATTCTAATTGAATCCTTGTTATATCAATATTGTATCAATCAGGTCATTCCTTCAACTTATCTATCAGCATAGGCGTTAGATGTTTGTTCGGATCTATGTTGAGCATATTTAAAATATGTGGATCACGTTTTATATACATTTGTACGTATCACATTGTCAGCTAGAATATAAAATATTAAAAATAGTTCTCTTAAATTTTAATGCCACTGTTTGTTACACCAATATAAGTTGTTCATGCATTTAATGCTCAAACTAATATAAATAATTGAATAACATGAAAATGATATTTTTGAGATTCAATTAAAACAAAAATTTTAAGTTCAAAGACAAATTTAAAATATGATTTATAGTATGGAGACGTAGAGTTCAATTAACTGTTTCCCGTTTAATCTACAGAAGGATAGTCTACAAATTTCAGTGATCATAGATAAACATCAATGCATTCCTTTTCTAATCATCTAATAGGAAGAATTTTGTTTCAAAATCATCTCAAGATCAAATAAGGATAAAATTTCTCATAAAACAAATACTTTTTTTTTTGAAAAAGGTACCTTGTATTAATGTAATTACAAAGTATATCACCCAAAAGACCTTATTAAAAATCTCCCTAAACCAAATCGGAGGAAAAAGAGTGCTCCACCCTAAGGAACACCATATCCATAGACCAGACCACAACCCAACAAATTTAACTCCTAAACAAACCTTAGAAACAGACACCAGTTTTCACTGGAGCCAAAACAAGCACTGGAATAATAATTCAGCATCAAACAGCAAATTACAGACACAACTCGGAAGCACTAACAGTATAAATCCAACCTGAGCTAAAACTCACAACACTAGAGCTCACAGTCATCATACGCCACGGACGATAGCTTCCGAATTACGAACAAAGTCATTCACTAATGAAATCAACAACGGCCATAAGTAATTCGCCCAAACCCCTATCTGGAGCATAGCTTTATAAATCTGATCTGCCGAAAATAAAATTCCATTAAATCTGGTTTTATTTCTGTAAATCCAAATTACCCAAATCATACCAAAAAAACCAATTTGCCATAGAGCCCGAACTCTCCTCCTTATTCTTTGTGAAAACCATGCCTCTAATAATTGTTTTACATTCTTGGGGAACACCAAATTTACTTTCCGCATGCTACACCAACGTTGCCAAACTACATCACAATGACACAGAACATGGTTAATTGCTTCCGGTTCACTTTTACAAAACGAGCAGCAAGACTGATCATTGCAAATGACTCCTCTCTTTTCCAGCTCTAACATGACCGGCAATCTATGATAAACTGCTTTCCACACAAAGGCGGATACTTTAGGAGGTGCAAATTTAAACCAAACCAATCTCCAAATTGGGTCTTTCATCTTACCAACGCAAGCCACTTTTAAACAAAATGATTTTGGATTATAGCTACCATCCTGCACACCAAACCATACTAATCTGTCAAGACCTTGTTCTGCACTGACAGCTTTGTTCAAAAAATGCTCTTCTCAACTCAATCCTCCATTCTCATACTCCGTGTACCCAACACCCGAACTCCCTGATCTTTCTGCATTTTTTAACAGCTAAACCATATATTCTCGGAAAAGAATTTTTTAGAGAAGCCTTTTCTGTCCAAAAATCAATCTTATTTCCATTACCCATTACACACCTCAATTCAGCAAGAAAATCCGGCTCATTAGACCCAGACGTATTAACACAAGAAGATTTTCTATTTTTTACAGCTTTTTGAAAGGATCGAATCCTTATCATAAAACAAATACTTACATGCGGCATTCGACACTGGTGCGCCATGGTTACAAAATGGACAGCTGAAAACAGTATCAAGTTTATCCATTCGCTTCTTAGCAGCAGGCTTTGCTCTTGATTTCCTCTTTCCCATGCTTCAATTCATTCAATAGGTCAACTTACGATCAAAACCGGCATTAAAATTTCCAGATTTCACGGTAAATTTAAATTCCTTACCAAAAATCAGATTCTTCGATTGAAAACCTAACGAATTATTTGATCAATTCAATCAAAAACAGATTCTTATCTAATTATTCGCAAAAAAAAAAGTAATAAAATGTAAAGCGCATTTCAAAGGCTGGTCGATTCGATCGATGACAATATCCATAGATACAATTTTTATTTGGAAAAACGAATGACAAAGAACAAGATTTGAATATCATAAACGAGCAAAAGTAATTGAAATTACCAGAGGTTGATTCCAATTAGCGTTAAGAGTAGCAACTGGGAGCTCCGATGCTTTACAAATGAAACAGAGGATTTTATTAATGGATATTTATAGTATTCTCGTCGAGTCCGTCTGCATTTATACCTGCTTGTTTTGTATCCGTCTAAATTCGAACTCTAAATATAGGCCGGACTCGAATTCTAATATTCAAAATCCCAGCTGACCCGACTGGTGTTTTAAATTTATATTATATTATTTTTATAGGGATAAGATCCGTTAAATTTTATATATTTTTTGAATTATTAGATTAACTGATTTTAATGATTGAGATTAATATTACGATAGGATGAGACTTTTACGAAATAAATTAGATTATACTCAATTTAAAAGCGATCAACCTTAAAGTTTAGCTAATTTGACAATCTAAAAAAATGTGTAAAACTTAAAACTTTTAGACTACGAAAGTGGATCATAACTCATTTATATATACATAAATGACGTTTTATATGAATTTAATGGGTTCTGACTTGATCTTATAGGGTCATTTTCTAAAAAAAATCAATTTTAGGTCAATGAGATCCTAAATAAAAATATTTAGTATTTATGTTGGGTCGAATGAGAGGTACATTGCTCAAATTAAATTTCAATCGGCCAAAAATCTGCCACGTTATCAATAAATAATAATTTTTCAAGTATTTGAATTAATAAAATTTCTTTATTTTAGATTTCTTTGGAAAGGATCAGATAAGGCTACTACAGGAGCAAGGATCAGTTGGGATAAAATATGTTGTCCCAAATCTGAAGGAGGTCTTGGTTTAAAAGATATCAGATCATGGAATAAAACCTGCATGATTCATCTCATTCGAAAAATACTTGCTGGTGAAGGATCATTGTGGGTAGCATGGATCCACTGCTATGTGATTAAAAGCAGTAACTTCACTGACATCAGAGAATGCTCTTCTTATAGCTGGTGTTTCAGGAAACTTATTAAGCTAAGGAGTGAAGTCCTCCCTATCCTTAGCAATGGAATATCGAAGACCAAAGAACTATGGGAGTAAATGAGAGTCCACAAAGCAAAGGTCCCATGGCACAAAGTTATCTGGTTTCCACTCCAAATCCCTAAGCTAAATATTATCTCATGGATGGCTATTCTTGATCGACTTCCTACTCGGGATAGGCTCTCTAGAATGAGAATTGTTTAAGATGATTTATGTATATTATGTCACGAGTCGCTTGAAACAAGAAACCATTTGTTCGTAGACTATTATTTTGCTACTTCACTGTGGAACTCTATCATGAGTCTTACTAACATGTGCAACATGCATAGTACTTGGGAATCAAGGATTGGATTGGCTTCTCAACAATGGTCAATGGAAGGGTAAATCTCTTCTTTCCACCATTCTGAAACTTTCATGGACAACTTACATATACTCGATCTGGGATGAAAGGAATCGAAAAATTTTCAGAAGAGAGTCAATATCACCTGATCAAGTCCTAAAGACCATAAAGGACCTTGTTCGAATCAAACTCAGTGACAGAAACTTCAATAGAACTGACAATGTTAATATTAATTTATGTAATTATTGGGGTATAGACTGAACATTTTTTGTTGTAAGTAGCTGTTTATACTCCCAATTGGGATGTTTTGTTGTTAAACTTTCTTCATTGAATAATAAAATTTTGTTTATCCAAAAAAAACTTTATTTTTAATAGGTGATATTATATAATCTTATAACGATATATAAGTTAATATAAAAATACTTTAAATTAATTATTAGTTGTTCTAACAAAATAAAGGATTTTTATTAAACAATTCCTATCTAGAAGAGGGAGAAAGGGAATTTTGCTCTAATAAGTATTAAACTCATAACCTATGATAAACAGTAGGTGTCAACTGCGAGCTTTTAGTCATATACTCTAAAGATTGTTGACAAAAATAAAGAGGTTTGAATTTTAACGATATGAAAGAAGTAAATTAAAATAAGAATTTCACTTTCATTACAAATCAAAAATTCACATATATGACAATCACACGATCGATTATACAATCAAAATCTAATGTCATTAAAGGAATTATTAGTGAATGATATAGGAGAAAAATCAATTTAATCGAATTAATAGATAGATATTGATCGAGTCGAGTATAATGATTAATTATGTTTTATATGCTATTAAAACAAGTTAAGGTGGCTATTTATCGTTTACGAATTTTTACAATCGAACCAACCAAATTAAACAAACTTTACTGTATATATTATTTTTAGTATTTAAACATGATGTTCATTTGTTTGTGCTTTCAAGGGCATGAAAAAATTCAAAATATGAATCATCTTGAAGACTACGTCTCCGTAATCAAGACGAGCAACATCCAGCTCCTTTCACAGCTGATACCTCGTCTTTACCTCCGACATTAATCGTCCGACCTTTAGGTAAAGCTGCTGGATCATCTCCGATATCAAGAGCTTTCCTGCTTACAACACGATAAATTTGAGCCAACACTTCAGTGAAAGCATTCTCGACATTCATAGCCTCGAGTGCAGATGTTTCCATGAAAAAGGTGTTCTCCCGTTCCGCGAAAGCTTTGGCATCATCAGCCTGGACGGCTCGCAAATGACGCAGGTCAGCCTTGTTCCCGACTAACATAATGACGATGTTGGGATCGGTATGGTCTCGGAGTTCCTTAAGCCACCTCTGTACGTTCTCAAATGTAACGCGACGGGTAACATCGTAGACTAGTAGAGCCCCAACGGCACCTCGATAATATGCACTGGTAATTGCACGATATCTTTGGCAAAACAGGGTAAAAACAGGGACGTTAGACCAACTTTTTGAAAATTTAATGTCTTTGCAATAAATTCAAATTGCACATTTTCACCTGATCTAATTATGGTTTTGAATCCCTCTATTATACTAAAACTTGAGATTTAATCCCTTTGCTTTAATTTGACATAGTTTGATACTTCTACTTTAATAATATTTATCGGTATATCTAAACCGATAATATCATCAGTTGATATCATTAAAATAACGACCATAAACAACTTTAAGCGTTCAACTAATATGTAAATTTATGAGTGGATAAATATGATTAATTAGGTTTTCATATGACTCTAATATCGTAGATAACAATAAAAATTTAAATATCATTATTTTTAATTTACTAGTAACATTATAAAAAAATAAAATAAAAATTCTCAATGTTCGTGTAAATTTATGAATCACATTAAGTTTACGTGTAAATTTTTACATGCAAAATTAAGGATGAATCCTGAAAAGAATCCCAAAGATCCATAAATGAAGCAAACATAAAACAAAGCGTTAAATCATAAAAGCAGAGATCAAAACAGCAAACAAAACTATTTACCTTTCTTGCCCAGCAGTGTCCCAGATTTGAGCTTTAACGACCTTATCATCAACATGAATGCTACGAGTTGCGAACTCAACGCCAATGGTCGATTTCGATTCGGAGCTAAACTCGTTCTTCGTAAATCTAGACAAAAGGTTGGATTTCCCGACCCCGGAATCACCGATCAAGACAACCTTAAACAAGTAATCGTAATCATCATCAGCCCTGTAAGCTCCCATTTCTGTCTCTGTATGCTTGTTTGTATTCGATTGGCGTCAAATACAAATTTCCAGAAAACGAGAAACAAAAAAGAAACCCAATGTTATTTGGGTATCTTAATTGTTATTCTTAGCATCTTCTTCTCCTTGCTTTGGTTGATTTTGATTCTGGGTTTGGGATGTTTGGTGTGAAGAAAAAAGAATAGAAATAGGTAGAAAGCTTAGCAAATGGCTATGATTAAACCAAAACTAACCTCTTTTCACGAGATTTTGGAAACAACTTTGTGTGGGCAAAATTTACTTTGTTCTAACCCTCTAATATATTGAATGGTTTTTGTGTGTTGAGATATTAATAACTTACAAAATATTTTACAAGGTTACATATAGCATGCGGTTTACGTTTGGGGTTAGTCTATATTATACATTATTCATTATTATGAATCTTAATTTAGATTAACTAAACAATAATGTTAGTTGGAATCAGTTACAATTGAATATGTTTAATACGAGTTTAAAGATTAAATAATTCCCCAAAATTTTAATTAAGATAAATACCATCTTTGAATTAGGATAAAAGTTAATTATACTTTCAAAGTCAGTTAAAAAATTAATTCAATCCCTCTCTCGTATAATCGTTTACATGTGGACTGTCACGATAGCACAATAAATTGACATGCTAGCATTGTGTTAATTTCAATTTAGATTTATTAATCTAAATCAGTTATAGTTAGGGATAGAGATGGATCGGGTCGGACTAGGTTTTTTAGTCTATCCGAACCTGATCTGGACATTCTACCTTTCTACCTGTCACTAGATTCGATCCAAGTTTATGGAGACTTCATCTAAACCGAATCTTGGGGTGAAATCACGTATCCACACCGATCCGACACAAATATATATAATTATATTTTTAGGTAAAAAATGTATCTAATTGAGAAAAAAATAGAAAATAATATTATTACAATTATCTTTAAATATATAAAGTATTGTGTGGCGACTTTGAAGAGTGGGGTGGGAGCGGCGGTGGTTGTGACTGTAGTTCTGGTGGGTTGGTAGGAATGATGATTAGGATGTGTTTGAGGATTGATTTGATAGATTTTGTAAATATGGGTGTTAATTTTGTTAAATTATTTAGAACTAAGATTAAATTGATTGAATGTATAAATATAAAAGATTAAAATTGACATAATCCCAATTAAAAATTTGAGACACACCATCATTATCATTATCATTATTGATTTAGTGATTGATGATTTGATTGATCAATTTTTCTAACATATGTGCCTTAATAGATTTTTTTATGTGACCAAAATAAAAAAACCCAATCATAGTTTAATGATGATTAGCATAATATACCCTAAAAACCCACTATAGTGAAATTTTGGGTTAACCCATGTGTAGTCACTCAACTTTCATCATGTTTCTATTTTAATCATCTGATTATAAAAAATTCAATTTACTTTTTCTATTTTAATCGTCTAATTATAAAAAATTCAATTTAATTACTAAACTTTCAAATTGTACTTGTTTAAGTCATTTGCATATTAAATCTTTGATACCAACACCAAAATTTTGAGTTTTAGGGCATTTTATTTATGAAAATATCCTAAACTTTCACCCTTTTTCTTGGTAGTCAATGTCCTTTTCTACTACTGGTCATCATTTTTGGATAAAATGTATGTATTAAATCCAAAGAAAATATAACATTCAGCGGCAACAATCAACAAATCAACCAAACCAAAACCTATAATCCCTCACTATACATATCCTGATATAGTCCTCCTAGCTAGTTTTCACTACTGATCATCGTTTATGATATGTATGATATCAAAATGTTCCCTATTCTCTCCTCTTTTTAATTTTCAGTCTATTTTTTTCTTAAGATCGACAAAATTTAAATCAAAACTTACACTTTTATCTTGCTACAATTTATATTTTCCACTACTTGATCAATATAAATCTAAAATATATTATTTTTCTCTTTTTTTTCTCAATTTCTCCACCATTTAAATTTAGAAGATAGTACTATAGCATCAATTAATGAAAAAGATTATGAAAATATGGGTCTAAAAGGAAAGTTTTTTGAAGTTTTTTTTTTGGGTATAAATTTATAAAAAAATTAAACAATATTAAAAAAAATTAACGCCAAGTGACCTAAACGAACAAAATTTGAAAGCATTGTAATTGAATTCATCTTGACGGTGTGTCCAATCCCCTTTAAGAGATCCTTCAAAGTTTCATGGGGGAATTTATGTAAATAATAATAAAAGCATAGCGAATAGCATTTGGTTGTTCAAAGGAAAACGCATAATCTTCGTTTCCTTGCTGGCTTTCTCTTTGGTTTTGGTGGCCTCAATGCTACCTTTATTGCAACATCGAAAACTGCCTTCACATTCTGAAAAACAAATCAAGCTTGATTAGTCTTTTTTTAAACACTTTAGGTCCTCTAAACTATGAAAAATTTATAATTTAATCCCTTTAAAAACCGTAAAAAGCTAAATCAATACAATAGTAGAAATGGGGTACCTGCTGGGTTTTCGAACTGCATTCCATGTAAGTGGCTGCACCTATCATCTTCTTCAGTTCCTCTCCCTGTTCACCATTATTATTATTGAACCAGCTAATGAACCATAAGCATTAGTAAAAATTACATAATTATTTAACCTTAGATGCTAATTTAACTTGCCTGAGATGTTGTTATTGATGTCGTTCCTGGGTGGTCACTCAAGAACTGCTTGTCATCTCGTAAATCTGGCAAAATTACATTTTTAATCCTTACAAATGAGAAACTTGCAATTTATTTTTTTTAAAAAAATTATAAGTTAATACATAAATAAAATTACATTCTCGAGCTAGCTCAAAGTAAAAAAGAAGTTATCCAGAATCTAATTTAATAAGTAGAATCTATCAAACGGGATCAATCATCTGATTTTTGGATAGGTTTAATTTACTTCGTCTATGTAATAATTTAAAGTCGGATTAAGCTTACCAAGCTTGGTTCCGACAAGCACAATTGGCACATTAGGAGCATGATGTCTAAGCTCAGGAATCCACTGCTAGCAATCAAACATAAAATTTATGTTAAAAGTCGAAGAAAAGAACTTGATTATATATATATATATATATATTACGTATAATAATGAGCAAACGATTGTAAAGTAATAAGGATAAAAAATAAGAATAGACATTTAAATTCTAAAAAAAATCATCAATAAAGAAGAAAATTTTTACTATAATCAACAGAAAATGATACCACACAATGAAGATTTCATCCCTGACCACCGTAAATTCTCTTTTTTATTTTATTTTATTATTATTAAATGAATTATATCGTAAATTTGTGAACTGGATAAAACAAAATTCAAATCATAAACTTTAACGATAAACGGAAATGAAAACCAATAAATCACCTTTTTGTGAACATTTTCGTAACTGGCCTTGCTTAAAAGAGAAAAGGCCAGCAGAAACACATCGGCTCCTCTATAACTCAAAGGTCTCAGCCTGTTGTAATCTTCCTGTCCTGAAATTCACAGATTTTAATTTTAAAAAGCCGAAGCGATCTGTTCGGATTTCACCGGTTATTATATAAAATAAATTGTAATTGAATCGAATCGAATCGAACCGAATAGACTATAAAATAGGTGTAGTTCAAATAACTGTTGTTTCAAAACATTCTGTTACTATCTAAGTCAAAATCGAACATAAACTAAGCTGAACACTATGATTCGAAACGATTTTCAATTTTTTCCCCTCGATCCCTAGCTGTAGGGTAATGAACTTACCGGCAGTGTCCCATAGGCCAAGGTTCACTGTACTTCCATCCACCACCACATTGGCACTAAAGTTATCAAACACTGTAGGAACATAATCCTGTATCAAGAGAAAAATATTATTATAATATCGGAATTCGATTAATAAAACAAATTGCTCATATTCATAAATAACATTCCAAATGGGGTCACGCTTACCGTTGGGAAAGTATTGCTAGTATACGAAATAAGCATACAAGTCTTCCCAACTGCTCCGTCGCCCACGGTGACGCACTTGATAAACCTCGCCGTATTCATTTTCTCCGTGGCGGCGGCCTTCTCAACGACCCTAAACTCGATTCGTGACTACAATTTTCAACGAAGAAGATGTTGAGGGATTGTGAGGTTTATATGAAGAAAGAAATGAAAACTTTAGAATGATTGAAAAATGGGTGACCTTTTGATTCCTTCAAGAGGAAGAACATGGTTATGAAAAAAACACAACAATAATGGGTGATTAAAGTGGAGTTTGGTGTTGGTGTGTTAGTTGGTTTAAGTGTTGAAGAAGGGATATATGGACAAAGGAAAAACTCAACATTTTTCCTTTCACGAATCAGTGTCGGTTTAACGGAATAAAACGTTAAATACTTTAAGTAAGATATTCGAATTTTTATATTGTAAATAGAAAATAATAAGTTAGGACGATCATTATTGTAATAAGTCTATACAATATCTTTTCTGAATTAATCAATCAATGAATGAAATATCGGATATAAAAGAAAACAATATTTGATCCTTTGTGCTTTATAACGACTTACCACATATTAGTTTGCTCTTTTGCTACCCCACCAATCTTTTGAATCTTCAAAAACAAAGAAGCGGGGGAAAACAATGGAATTAGTGATGTTTACGGCATATTTACTCATCTTTACGTTAAGATAACCTTTCTAATTATTTAACTTGTCCCAGGAGATGGGACATAGTTCGAAAGGTCTAATTACGATTTTAGTCCATTAATATTTGAATTTAAGATTTATTTTTTCTGTTGTAATTTATCGTAATTTGATTTTTTATTATAATGTTATAAGCACGTTCAAATTCACAACACGTAATTTGCAGCTGTTAAATTAATGAAATATTTTTCTCTTAAATAACTTTTAACATTTGTAGCATGAAATTTATTATACGTCTGATTGATTAGATTTTCATATAATATAATATGAGTTGTATAAAAAAATAATAGTAAAAAGAAAAAAATTGTGTCACTATTAATCAAGTACCGTGGACCTATTATAGGGTAACCTTCCAATATAGTTTAGTCAATTCGCAACGTTAAACCTCGAACACATGATATTATTTAATAAATTTAGTATTTCATCTCATTATCAATTAAATATTAGTCTAACTTTATATTTTTTTTAAAGGCATAATACTAAAATTCACCCATAACATTTGATTGAACAATTACTATATTTCCTTTTTTTTTTGAAGTAGTTTAATCTTTGACATTTCATTTTAGATCAAAATGACCCTTAAATGGATAAAAGTCTTTAATTGACTAATGATCAATATTTGTTTTTGACGTGACATATCATATGTGCCCAACGTGTTGACATAACACTATCATGTGTATAAAAATAATATTGTAACATAGTCCATGTGTTAAAAACTTGATATGACACATATTACACTATATAAATGATGATGTTTTATAAATCTTTAAAAGAAAAAAAAATTGGTTTCCCTCCCGATTCAAAGGTTTCGTCTTGACTAATCAGGATCAACCTGCGTCACACCCCTGGCTTTGGTAGGTGAGTCTCCCAGTAGGAATTTGTTGTGCATACAGAAGAACTTAAACTCGAAACCTTACTTAAGCAATATCAATTTGCTTACCACTTGAACCAATCCATGTTGATTATATATCTTCAAAATTTTAATTTTCCTCCACAAAACACCGTCTTAATTAATATAAATTTATATATTCATAACGATCGACTGAATTTTAGTTTGATTGACAACTCTTAATGACATGAGTTAAAAATGTATTTAACATAATTATCTCCGAATTAAGGGTTTCGGATTATAACTTTTTGAATTGAATTCAATTATTTCCTAGGTTACAAGCAAATTTCATAAAGAAAGTTCAACTTGAAAACCAAATAAATCTCGTACCCATGGATGCTTGTCCACCGAGTCGATTACGAGTTGAGCAGTGCTCGACTTGTGCTCATTAAAAATTTTTGTTGCTCATCTCGACACATTGCTTGTTAAGCTCATTAAAATTTTGCTCGACTTGTGCTTGTTAAAAAAACTTGTTGCTCGTTAAGCTCAATGCTCATTGAGCTCACTAAAATTTTTATCTTATTTTCTTAACTATAATACTATATAGAGATTAATATAAACATAAATTAATAAATTTAACCAAAAAATTATTAAAAGAGTGTATGAAACAATTTTAAAGTCTAAACTCCAAAGTAACAATCCACAAATATATTAGAATAATAAATAAGGTTTGATTTTTGAGTGTAGTAAAATATTAATTAACAATTTAATATTTTTTTATTGTTTATTAGAAAACTAATAAATTAACAATTTATCATCTCTTTTATTATCTATCAGTAAATTAATAATTTTTTTGAATGAAATAGTTTTTAAGATAACTACTAAAAAATTATATATTAAATATTAATGAGCTACTCGCGAACTTATCGAGTCGAATTGGACTATATTCGACTCAACTTATTAAGATCTTGAGTTGAATGAACCTAAATCGAATTCGAACAACTCACGAACTATTCAACTCATGAAGCACCCTCTTCACAGCAAGGCATGCAATTTCATGATAAAGTCATTCATGTAAGAATTTTCAAGCCCCGGTGCTAGAAGAAACTCTTTCCATTTAGCATGGTTAGCCCTCGTCTCTTTTCCCAACTCATTGCCGTCGTCCATTACGGTCATCACTGCCCTGTAAACATCATCCTTTGTAAACAGCCCATTCTCTTCGCCTTTCTCAACCTCCACCCCAATTCTCAACTCTCGAGCCATTAATCTTGCGTTAATTATTTGATCCCCGACGTGGGGTAACAGCACCAGTTGACAGTCATTCACCATAGCCTCAGCCAGCGAGCCTGAGCCACAATGGGTCACGAAACACCCCAAGGAAGTGTGCCTCAGGATAAATTGTTGTGGCACCCAGCCTCCATGGACGAACCCTCTTCCTTGTACCCTTTTTTCGAACCCTTCCGGCAAGGCTGACTCGATTGCTTCGGCTCCCATTGGTGGTTTCAGGGCAGCCAGGAATGGTAGACCTGTTAACTCGAGCCCTAGAACCAGTTCTAGGAACTGATCCTTTTTGAGAACACACTCACTTCCGAAGGCACAGAATATCACAGTCCCGGCTCCGAATTTGCTTAATAACTTTTCCCATTGTTCTTCCAACGTCGTTTTCGGTGGTTCCGGCACGACCGGACCAGCATAAAGCACCGGCTTTTTGAATTGGCTTCGGATATATTCACAATAAGGCCCTTCAATCTCCTTGCATGTCTTGAAACCAATAGCATCACAATCAATCAATGACTTCATCTGGCGCTCTACGAATGAAATACCACTCCCGAATTCCTTTGCTGCACCGGCGGCTGATCCTCGAGCTTCATGTGCGTGTAGCTTTATTCTCGAGGATGGAAAACCTTCGGGAGGTTCAAGGAGATCAAGTTCATTGAAACCTCCCTCGAGAATTTTTCTTGAAGGACTAAGAAGAAAGCCGATAGTCGCGGAGCTGATGGCACAATAGTGCACGGACTTTATGCCTAGCTTGCGAGTCAAGGCAGCCAACCAACAAGTGAAATCGAAGAAAACGAATTGGGGTTTGAGTTTGCGGAGGGATGCTTCTATATCCGCTTCGGTGAGATCCATGGCAGTCATGATGAGGTGATGCAAAGGGAACGGAACATCGTTTGTCGTTTCGGCACCGAGGGGAAGACCTTTGACATGCGGAACGGTGATCAGAATGAAGGTTATGAGATCCGGATGAGAATTAAAAGCCTTTACCTTGCTTAGAGTTTTGGCAGGCAAGAAGAAGGAAATTTTGTGGCCTCTCTTGGCAAGTTTGTTGGCCATATGAAGAAAGGAAGTAATGTGACCTAGGGCGAACCATGGGTACATTGCAACGTGGAAGGTTGTCTCTGCCATAATGGATGGGTGTTGCTGCAAATGCTCCAACAATACAAATGCTTCTAATTAGAAGATAAATTTGAGTGCCTTTTGCAATCCTTGACATTGCTTATATAGTACCACGGCTGGTAAGTGAAAAGTTAATGGGTACTACTGAATTTCATAGAATTGAAATCTTTTGACTACTCTCTTCGATCAGTAAATTAGGGAAATAATCCTCTTAAAAAATAAAAAAAATGGGGATGATGAGAAATTAATTAGGAAAACAGAATTATTGTTATAGTAAAAGTCGAAATCGTCACCTCCCGGCGACAATATAACAAAAGTTGACTTGTCCCACTAACGACTTTTTCTATTTTTTTTTTCGTTTTTGTAGTTTTAGAACTAAAATGAAAATTAAGGAATTAAAATTTGAATTTTAAAAATTATCCCTAAAAATGATTTTTCTTATTATTATGGGATGATTACAAAGTATATATATTCAAAAGACTTTCAATCGTTTGATAATAAACGTTCAAACATTCTTATAAATATTGTATTCGAATTCAAGACTTTCAGGACTCTACTCACCGAAGCGTTGGAGGCAAGCATGACTCTACGCACCCAGGGGGCGTTGGAGGCAAGCATGACTCTACCCACCGGGGCATCTCGTTGGATGGTTGTTGTTGGTTCCTTTTCAACATGGAGCCCGTGCAATTGATTTTATAATTAAAGCTGTTTTTGGTTGTTTTAAACAAAGATATCTTTTTCATTCTTATGGTATGTGATAGTGTATTGTTCAATTGAATCGAACTAGTTCAATTAGGAAGTTGGTTATCAAAATTTATTTGATTAGAAAACAATTAAAAGAAATAAAATTTTGATTATCGATTAATTTGATAACGAAATTATTTACGATTCAATGTTTAATTTTTAGTCTTAATACTAAATTACTATTTCATTACAACTCTTCCCTATTTCTTTGTCCTCTTAGTTTTCTCTTCTAATTTTTTCTCATTAGTAAGTCGTTCATCTTCTTTTCTTTTTGTCTTTGTTGATCAGCGGCGACATCAACTTTAATTTTGGTTGTCGACCATCAGTATTCTTTATTATCCTTTTATTTTATATTGTTTTCCTATACTTTATGATACTCTTTTTTTGTCTTTATGGCATATTTTTATGTCGTTTGGTCATTGTTTGCTTTTATCTTTTTCTTATGGTTGATTAGATATCGCCACGACTGATGAAGATGACGCTTAGTTGATATATTGTTTATCTTCTCCGCTTTGGACCTTCAGATTGAATTTGAATACCTGTTATGCATTTGTGGATAGCTTTTCACGTCGCTCGAGTCTGATTTGCAGTTTTTCGGTGGTCTTTCAGTTCATTTTTGTGGTTCGTTTGTCGATGCAATCAATTTTGTTTGTATCTATATTTTTGTTCGAGTTTTCTTGGTTAGATTTTAATCTTTTCTTGTATGGTCCTTATGTGATCTTAAGTTGCTAATTTTGTTTCAATTATTATAGGAAATTATCCTAATTATGTACTTAATTCACAATTATAATTGTAGATATTTTGAATTTAGGATATTTCCTATTTTGTATAAAATTAGTGATTTATTTCAACAAAAAAAATCTTGATACTATATTCATTCCAAAATAAAAATAAAAGTAAAGATTAGAAATAAAAATTCTAAAATTATCATTCGATAACATCGTAATATAAAACATTGGATGATCATGTTACGCTCGTCGAGCACAGATGAGTACCTTTAATTATAAACACCATTAAATTAATTTATAAAATGTTAAATTATAAAGTATTAAATGAATAATTATAAATTAGTTAAAAATTTAAATGTAATTTAATTAGGGGTAAAGTATATAAATGGTCATTGAACATTTCAGGCGCTTGTATTTAGGTCCTCCAACTTTTAAAACTTGCAACACATTCATCAAACATTTAGTTCGTTTACAATGTGGTCCATGACGTAACTGGCCGTTAGAAGAAGATGATGTGGCACGTGAGGAAACCCTTTGTAGCTATAAATATTAGGGTAAAATATATAAATGGTCACTAAACTTTTCAAGCGCTTGCATTTAGGTCCCTCAACTTTTGAAACTTGCAACACAATCATCATGTAACATCCCAAACTATGAGTTAGTGACTAAATGGTAAAGTTTTAGAAATTTGGTGATTAAAGTAGAAGAATGGATTAGTTCAATGATTTATCTAGAAATAAATCCTAAAAATTGTTAGTAATTATCAAATGAAGTAGAGGGCAAAATGGTCATTTGACTAATAAATGAATTAAAAATAGATATGATAAGGATATATATGTTAGAGGGGATAAGGATGAAGAGATATTCTCTTCATCTTCTTCTTCTTCTTCTTCTTCATGTACGAGAGAGAGAAGAACCAAGCTTGCAAAGGTAAGATTCCTGTTAGCTGATTATTTGTTAATTTTAAGAGTGGGTTTTGATCATTAGGTAATACTTAAGCTTATGGAAAGCTTAAGTTGTCCTAAAATCAAAAGATAAAGAAGTTATGAATGATTAAAGAAAATGAGTTTCTTAAGGAAATTCTGGAAAAGAGTTAGTAAGTGAATTTTGAGAAGGAATTTGACTTGTCATCAATCTAATTAAGGAATATGGAGTGTTAGAATTAGATTTAAAACATGTTAAAAATCTGGTATGAATCTTGAAGTTAATAAAGATGGGAGAATATTAAGGTTTAAGATGAAATAAATGAGTATATATTGGTTTAAGTATGTGTACTAGAGTTAAGAAGGAAAAAGGGGATGAAACATGAATGATTTAATCCAAAATGAATGAATTTTCGGGTTCAAAAAGAGGTTCTGGACAGAGTGCATCGATGCACATTCATAGTGCATCGATGCATCAAGGTTAAAACCCAGAAATCGTTTGAAGGTGTATCGATGCACAGGAAGTGCATCGATGCACTCTTTTAAAATAAATACATCGAATGCAATTCGTGCATCGATGCATAAGTAGTGCATCGATGCATCCCAGTAATAATACAACATCGAATGCATTTTATGCACCGATGCATCAGTAGTGCATTGATGCATACCTTCATTAAAAGATGAAATTGCCTTTTCTCTTAGTCTAAAGAGTGAACCATTAGAGTATATTAGTTATAATACTAATATAGATCTATGTATGATGATGTAGATATAGAACGTGATCCCGTTCCAGATCAATTGAAGGATTATAATCGAATCAAAACAAAGCTAAGGTGAGTGCAATTTAATTTATACTTATATTATTGAATAAACATTTGGCTTGCGATGAGCCATTGATGGAGTTACTATGGTAAGAAGTAACTCCTAAAATGTTATTTGATTGGTGATCAATGTTATGATTTGTGTGATTATGAGATATATAAGTTATATGGAAAGTATATGTGAAATAAGATATGAGCTTATATGAATATGTGATATGAATAAAGCTATAAGAAATGATTTATGTGAATACATGCATTTGTGATGCGTGTTATATGATATTATATATATGTTTACACATACATATGGTATGTGACCGAAGAGAATGAACATGTGATTATAAGATCAATGATTACACGTATATTTGGTACGTGACTGAAAAGAAAAGATATATGTTCATAAGAGAAAGGATATGAATAAGTAAATTGAACTATTATGAATGTTAATGCCCATGTTATGTGATAAGAGAGCTAGTGGTATAGTTGGCATGCCAAGGGTCGAGGGTTTACCTATGTTCTTTGGGACATATGGACTGTTTACCTATGTTCTTCGGGACATATGGACTGTTTACCTAGGTTCTTCGGGATCTATGGACTGGTCCTTCGGGACGAATACTGAACTAAGGTTCGGTGCCCCATGAGAGAATTAATACGAGTTGTGGTGACAGCATTAGTGCACAACCTCAATGTACTCACATACCTTAAGTTATCAAATGTATACATGGGCTAATGCAAGGGCTTTAAAGATAATAAATAACTTGTTATGATACTATATATATGCTTTGTTGTGAAATGACATGGATACTCGATGGTGAGTATAGAAAGGTTCAATATATGCTTACATGATAGAAAGAAATTAGTAATAATGATATGAGTACTGATAAGTATATTAATGATATATGTATAAGTATGCATTATGTTATATGAAATGGTTTGTGGTTTTATTATATGTTTTATATGCCTCACTAAGTCAACGACTTAGCGTGTAAGTGATTTACACGTAGGTATGGAGAAGAGTAAAGAGCGATGTGGAGTAAGACATGTCAATTATCCTTACTCAATGTCAGATCAGAAAAGAGGTGATTAATATGTACTTTAATATATAAAGTTCTAGTTGGCATGTATTCAAAAAGATATATTGTATAAGCTCTGAATAGTTTTGTAATCGTTTTGAATAAGTTAAATGTTATAAAAGTTTTTAAATTACTCAATATTTTATACGAATAAATGTTTGAAAAGTCAATGTGACACTTCGGACTCGTATCCGGGTCAAATACGGGTTGGGGGTGTTACACATCAATTGCATTCTAAACCCTAAATTTCAAAATACTTCAATTATATTATAAACCTCAAATTCCAAAATACTTCAATTACATGATCAATCCTAAATTCATAATATATTATCAAAATCTATTATATCAAACTAAACTTGAAGCAATAACCCTAAACCCTCAAAACATAACCTTAAATGCTAGATTTCCCCACCACTTAACCCAACATAATCAACAACAAGAAATTCCCCCAAACAAACTACCCAAATCACTCACTCAAGCCTTCTTCCTCTTTTCTTGGTTCTCGTCTTCCTTAGCAAACCAACAATAACAGTACGTGAATGTGGATTCAATAGGGGATCATACCAAACAAAGAAATTACAATTTCTCTTAGAACGTCCATAATTAACTCATCTAAAGAATCTCCTTCCAGCATTCTTATTTGTCCATTCTGTGCGTAAAATAGCTGACATTCCACAAAAACAAGTTGGGATTGCATTTGGTGGTGTATCCATTGCTTGTAATTGTTGACAAAA